ATGAGTTTTTTTTTTCAAAATTAATATTACATTTAATGTAGGTCCAGGCCAGTAACTCACATCATTCGCCCACTCAGTTTTATAAAATAAATTATTTTAATTGTAAACAAAACAAAAGCTCCCGCCTAGAAAGGCCTACGCTCATTTTTTTCTTATTTTTATAGTTTAACACATTGGAGGGAAAATATTGTAGAAAAAATTGCCCCTAAAAACAGAATTTTCTTGTAAAAAATAAAATTTGAAAGTCAAGTTCATTCAAAGGTCAGGTTACATCTGAATAATCATGTCAGTTTTGTCATAAGTGTTATTTTGTCCAAGAATAAATAAAATCCATTAATAAATCAGAAAGTTATGACAATTGATGAATACAAGTAGTTCAATAATTTGACTTTGATGGTACAGTTCAATTAAAGGAGAAAGTCTTATCAGAATAATTCAACATGTCAGTTTTGCCATGTGTTCTTTTGTCCAAGTATTAATTGAATCTGTTAACTCAATTAATGTCAGAATTGGTTTAAGTGTTCTTTTGTCAAAATGTACATCAAACTCATAAAAAATAATTTTGGACCTAAGTGTAGTTCCTCTAAACTCATTTGAAGGCTTTTGGAACTCAGTGTAGTTCTTTTAATTTCATTTGAAGGCTTTTTGGAACTCAGTGTAGTCCCTCTTAACTCATTTGAAGGCTTTTGGAACTCAGTGTAGTCCCTCTAAACTCATTTGAAGGCTTTTGGAACTCAGTGTAGTCCCTCTTAACTCATTTGAAGGCTTTTGGAACTCAGTAAACTCAGTGTAGTTCTTTTAATCTCATTTGAAGGCTTTTGGAACTCAGTGTAGTCCCTCTAAACTCATTTGAAGGCTTTTGGAACTCAGTGTAGTCCCTCTAAACTCATTTGAAGGCTTTTGGAACTCAGTGTAGTCCCTCTTAACTCATTTGAAGGATCTTGGATCTCAGTGCTTTTGCTTTAAACTAATTTGAGGGCTTTTAGACATCAGTGTAGTTCTTTTTATCTCATTTTAAGGCTTTTGGGACCTCAGTGTAGTTCCTCTAAACTCATTTGAAGGCTTTTGGACATCAGTGTAGTTCTTTAAATCTCATTTGAAGGGTTTTTGGACCTCATTGTAGTTCCTCTAAACTCATTTCAAGGCTTTTGGACCTCATTGTAGTTCCCATAAACCCATAAGAAGCCTTTTGGACCTCAGTGTAGTTACCTTAAAATCAGCAAACTTTCACTTCTTCAAATCACCAAATAAGTAGCTTCAAGAACTAAGCATAAGTGGTGTTAAGGTCAAATCTACAATCATAGGTTAAAAACAAGATTGCATTTGAGAAAAATGCTATGCCACCGCATTAATACAACACTAAATAGTAGTGTAGGAACAGATTTTTTTTTGTTTCTATACAATTGAAGATTGTCATAATGCATAGATCCCTGACCTATCTAATTCTTATTATCAGATTAGTGGTTAAATCTATTGTTAATCCAATAAAAGATCAGAGTATATATATCAATGCACTCAGTCTAGTGAATTTGGTGAAGGTCATATTTCACACAGCCTAAATTTTATGATTACATGGACAACACAGTAAGACACTCAAAATCTAGGTCAGCTGATATCAAAGTTCACTTTACATCTTAATCTGTGCACATGGTTCAAATTTCAAAGGACAAGAAAGTAGGTCACATCATCAAAATCTAAGGGCGGAACCAATTTTGACCCCAGGACTATAATTTGAACAATCTTAGTAGAGGTTCACTTTGCAAAGTCTCATGCCATATACGAGGGGTGATCAAGAATTATGTACTGGTTCAATATCTTTGAAACGGACCCATATAAAATATTTTTATTTATATCACTGTCGTGACCTATCTCTTTGCCATTTACAAGGAGCTGTAAATCAGTCATGCATTACTCAGAGCAGAATAACTAGCATAATTGTAACTAAAGAAATGCGTTACCGGCCCAGGTGCTATTTTTATATACATGTATAATTGATTTATTCAATGCATTATAATTTCGACACTGATTATCAAAATAACAGAAAAATGCGGGAATATGTTTTCGGACATTTGTATGACGTCGCATAAAGATTTGACGTCATTTGATGTTAGATAAGGAAAATAAACGTTTAAACCATATTAGTCCGTTACGCAGCTACGTTAAAAATGACATCACAAGAACGCCTTGAATTGCGTGCCAACATAAAGTTCTGCATGGAATTAGGTGAAACGCCTACAGACACATATAAAAAGCTGCAGAGGACAAGAGGAGAGAATGCTGTTTCTCGAGCACTTGTTTTTAAGTGGTTCCGGCGATTCTCTGAAGGGCGGAAGTCACTTGAAGATGATGAAGGGCGTGGAAGAAGGTCGAGCGTCAAGCCGTCAGATGTGACGTCAATTGAATATATTATATATATATAAGAGTGACCGTTCGAGAGATATCAGAAGTAACTGGGATGAGCTATGGAACCACGCACACAATTATCACCAAGAAATTGAACAAGCGAAAGGTATTTTATGTGCATTAACTTATGTTTTTTTGTTTTAATCACTCTACAACCTATTCAGTTTCAAATACAAAAATTCAAATTTTCCGCGCTAATTTATGATTTCGCACGTATTGTTATAAACAAGTATTGTTATAAACAATAAAATGCACGGATACACATTTGTTTCAAACATGCTGCGTAATTCAAATTTATAAACAATGTATCAAAAACTTAAATAATTTTACAAAATACCTTAATATTAGCTTATCAGTTTGATTTTTCAGTGTTCCCAGATTTGAAACGCCAGCTGAAGGGCTAGCACTTTGAGAATTTGGAGGAGTTACAGTCAGCGACAAACACCCTAATACGTCAATATCCAGCAGAGTATTACAGGAATATATTCTTCTCTAAGTGGCCTAAGAGGCAAGAATGTTGCATTGCATGTTCTGGTTCGTACTTTGAAAAAGAGTGAATGACATGCGCTTTTCCTTAAACACTTACGACGCTGCGACGTCAAGAGTTTTTTGACGACGTGGGCCGGTACCACGATAGTGACACATTTTCATGGTTTGTTATTCCGAATTATGTAAACATATTGTAAAACAAAATTGCATGTTGTTTGTTGATAAAATGTAATTTAATGTGATATAAGTTTTATGTACGTTTGTCAACAATAAATGAGATATTGAGCCAGTCTACGTAATTCTTGATCACCCCTCGTATTTTACTTTATACATATAAGGAAAACTATCGCCTCTGGGGCAGGGCAATTTTAACACTAGGGGCATTATTAAAACAACTTTAGTAGAGGACCCATAGATGATGTAATATATCAAATATCAAAGCTCTAAGCCTTGTACATTCAGAGAAGAAGATTTTTTACTATATGTTCATAGTGAAAATCAATGACCCCTGGGGGTGGGACCAATTTTGACCCCAGGGCTATAATTTGTACAATCTTGCTAGAGGTTCACTACACAATGTTTCATGCAAAATATCTTAACTCTAGCCTTTGTAAATTTAGAGAAGATGATTTTTTAAGTTTTTACTATATACATATAAGGAAAACCTATGGCCCCTGGGGCGGGGCTAATTTTGAAACTAGAGGCAAAATTTGAACAACTTTGCTAGAGTATAGTTATATAGATGATATCATTTAACAAATATTAAAGCTCTAAGCCTTGTACCTTCAGACAATAAGATTTTTTGATTTTTTACTATATGTGTATATTGAAAAGCCATGAACCCCGGGGCGGGGGCAATTTTGACCCCAGGGCTATAATTTGAACAATCTTGCTAGAGGTTCACTACACAATGTTTCATGCAAAATACCTAACCTCTAGCATTTGTCAATTGCTAGAAGAAATAGATTTTGTTAAATAATGAAGTTTTTACTATAAACATACAATGAAAACTAATGACACCCGGGGCGGGGCCGATTTTGACCCCAGGGCTATAATTTGGACAATCTGGGTCTACCACACAATGCCTTTTGCAAAATATCTAAGCTTTAGGCCTTTTGGGTCTTTACAAGAAGGTATTTTAAGTTTTTACTATGTGTACATATAGTGAAAATCAATGACCCCCGGGGCGGGGCCGATTTTGACCCCAGGGCTATAATTTGAACAATCTTTTTGACCCCAGGGCTATAATTTGAACAATCTTGGTAAGGGTTTACCAGACAATGCCTTATGCAAAATATCTAAGCTCTAGGCCTTTTGGGTCTTTACAAGAAGGGATTTTAAGTTTTTACTATATGTACATATAGTGAAAATCAATGACCACCGAGGCGGGGCCGATTTTGACTCCAGGGCTATAATTTGAACAATCTTGGTAAGGGTCTACCAGACAATGCCTTATGCAAAATATCTAAGCTTTAGGCCTTTTGGGTCTTTACAAGAAGATTTGTTAAATTTATTCTTACAATTCCTTTTGGTTGCCATGGCAACCAGATTTCTGCATGGAATGAAATTCTTTGAACAACTTTGGAAGCCCTTCAACCAAGGATCAATCCTGCCAAGTTTGGTTGAAATTGTGGTTTTTCACAAGAAGATTTTTGAAGTTCACAATATAATCTATATAACACACAAACACACACACATACACACATACATACACACAGGTGAATCGCTATATGCCACCGCATCACAGATGCTGCGGTGGCATAAAAAGACATTCCCACTATTTGTATATCGGTATCATTCATTAATTTAAGGCTAATAATATTGCTAAGAAGATCCAGCAAAGTGAAAGCTATAAACTTATTTCAACAAATACAACAACTACTTTTTGTTCAAATTGCATTTCTTTCATTTTTTCCATTTTCTTTAAAAACTATTACACGTAGAATGTAGTGGACGATACCTTTTACAACAAAAATCAGTGACAAAATTAATTTTCACATAATTTTAACATCCAATCAAACGTTATGTCACATTGAGCTTAAAACCATGTAAATACACAGGTATAATTTGCCTGACCTTAAAAACATTCACGCAAAGTAGCGGCAACATTACCATTATAAAAATAGAATCTCTAATACTTAAGACTAACTTAGATAGAAATTTCTAAATTTATTTTTTAATGATTTCACATAGAAAAAAAATCCTTTATTATCTGTCAGCAAAGAACAAGAGCTGTCAGTAAAACAGCATACTCGACTATTCCGTGCTTGATAATAAAACAATAGCCTGATTCTGCCTGAATACTGTAAAATTTTCTACATTCAAAAATATTTTTAAAAAAGGCTAAATTCAGTCACCCTCCATTTTTGTGTTATGGGTCTTGGAACATGATATCCCATTTATAATCCGCTTACAAATAAGTGCAAAAATGCAAAATCTTTACCAAAAGTGTGATGCCAATGCAGATGAGCTAAAATGCAACAAATAATTTTTTTTTAAAACAAAATCAAGACCTTAGAAAACCAATTAAACCATTGTTTCTACAGAATACAAACAAAAGAAGATACACAAGCTAGTAATAACATGATGAGGAAAACATGAAATCATACACATATAAAAATACTTGCTCATACATACACACATACACACACACACACAGTATAAGTTATTTATATACTATATTTACACATAAACACCATTATTATTCATTTTAATTTACATGTATTTATATAATTAACAGTATAACCTACAAAATATTCAAATTTTGAAGGAATAAAATAACTATCAAAGAAAGATTTATTATTCTATAAAATAAGAATGAATATAAGTTTATTTTGGTTCAAGTTTTAGTTGTATCAACACTGTAAAGGTCATATGGTAACTGTCCAACAAAACTAGCTGCGGAACTTCTCAGGCTCTGTGCATTATTTCAGAACAATCCCTCTATGTTCATAAGCAAGCTGGAGAGCTTCCTTACATGAAAAAATCCCAAATTTTTTTCAAACTTTAAATGGTAATAAATTGTTAATATTTCACATGATTACTTGTCCGTTAACAATAGCTATCCATCAATAAGATACATGTATAATTAGGAAACAGATAAATTAACATCATTGGTGCTTACAAAACATGCAAAGATTTGTGATTTCTGTACTTGTAGAACTGGTACAATATCTTGGAAATATCGCTTCATGATATGTTATACATGCTAATGTACAATGTAGTGATAATTATGCAATAGGTATCAAAGGCACCAGTACGAAATTGTATCATTCAAAGTAATGGTATTAAAATTCAAACTGACCTTACAAAAACATAGGACTATTAACCTTTACTTGCATACACAATTTGTAAATAAAGTCAGATTTATTTATTTTCATAGTTAAATAATTTAAATCTATTTAGTTGTCATAAAATTTTAACACAAAATGTACCTCCATCTTCATTTTCATATACAAATTTCGACTAATACTTAAAACTTGGATACAGTATCCCAACTTGTACCAAAACACCTTTTACAAAATGAAAATTTCAGTTATTAACTGAACAAGGTTATGTCCCAACATTTATTCAATATTAAATTTTAACCTAAACATTGTGCTACAAATAGAAAGTTAAGTGTTTGACAAAAACCAGCAAGTTCATCAACAAAACATCAATTAAGATAACATATATTATGTTTGCCAAAACCTTTTTTTTTCCTTCTTTTTTTTAAGGACCTAAATTTACATTTATATTGAACACAAGTTCAGTCATTGTCCAATCTTACAAACTTAATATAAATTTTATTTTAAAGTGTAAAGATTAATTCAAAATGTTTTGTAAAAAAAAAACACTTGTAACGAACAAACACTCGGCTCTATTTTCACAAAATGCTCATTAAAACATATCTCTTTGACTATATTTTAGTTTATTAGTAAACATATTTGTAATCTTTTAATTTCATAAGATTTCACCCAGAAGATGGCAAGTATTTTTCAATTTTCTATACATCAATATCCACCTGTGATCAATAAACATTTACACTTGACTTTACAATCTATGTTTCATGTTTGTAAACTTTCTATCATATAGAACTCCAGCTGAAGCCCAAAAACTTTCTCTAAAAACATTGGTGTAACAAGGCGGAGTAGATATTAAAATTTTGTCTGTTGACTAAAGATCACTCTTGAAACAGTAATCACTTATTATTTTCTTCTTTGTACAGTTATATGTTTTTGTAAGCTGCATATAAATATTTGTCCCTGACCAATATCTGTTGACTGAATTATTCAATAAGTTTCTTTGCCTTGAAATATCTTCGTAGATAAAGAACTTGCCAAGTTGCTAGTCCAAGAAGACACAGCATTGAAAATAAACTGAAGTACATCACTCTAGAATGGGTCGACTCTGAAATGATAAAATATATATAATAATACAGTAACCATTATTATGTTAAATATCTAAAATGGAATTGTCTAATTTTAATCTGGACAACCCATTCATCATCTTTTAGGGAAAATTTCAAAATATGTAAAGCCTGAAAAGCAATCAGTGCAAGCTGTGATCAGGCAGCAAACTGATGTGAATGTGTGACCTTGACCTGCACTGGTCACATGACCATGATAGGTAGTATTTGTTGTCACCATCAGGCTAACGTTTAAATGCTGATTACTATCTACTCATAGAAACAACAGCTGTATATGTATCACATAGAAAAAATGTGTCAATATACCTTTCTTCTAACATCATTAATATCTAGAAAATGCTACTGGCTGATTGAAAGAAAATATTTTAACCATATCAAGACATTCTAGCTCAGCAAATCGGCTTACTCATTGGATAGAGCAAATCCATTCCTCAGCTTTTTTTAACCAAAAGACTTGATGTAATTTAAAGTTATTCAACTTTCATCATTAAACAAACAAGAACTGTCGGTAGAGCAGCATGCTCAAGTATACTCAGTTTTTGATAGTAAATCTAGAGCCTGGGTAATGCAGAATTTTCAAAGTTCAAAAAAAGACCATAGTTTTGGAGATACCAACTTGCATGCTAAAACTCAACCGAAGTTTGATGCCATCACTGAAGCTGACACCAGGATGCGTACAATAGTTTTCCCTATTCTTCCAACAGTCGAGGTAAAAACTCACCATTTGTATCTCTCATTTCCTCTTCTCTTGCTCTCATATAAGCAAAATCATCAACAATAGATTTAGAAAGATCTTCTAGACGTCGCAATTCTACCTCCAATGGCTTCAATTTCTCTGCCTTTGCCAGCTGAAAGAGCAAAATAATGAACTGTGATAAAACCCATTTTCTATTTATCAAAATGGATACAAGTAGATATAACAATGTACATTCTATCTTAACAAATGATATTGGTTTTTAAGTTGGGATGCTTTCATGTTTTGTTTTTAAATGGGTGTTATGTTATATCTCTACATTAAAGATACCACTTAACAACTTGATTTATTTTATATTGAATTTATTTTGTGTTGAACGCTATAAGCTTATAGACACATTCTCCTGGAACTAACCAGTACTAAGCCATGAGAGTAAAGTTTCTTATTCAAGGAAACAACAACTTGCCCCTGATAAGGTTTTCACCTACATAGTCAACAATCCTTAGAGATTACTAGTCAGACACATTATTAACCATGCCACACTTCAACTATACTGAATTGTTTTATTAGTATAAAGGCCAATATATAGACATATCTGTTCATATAAATGAAAATATTACAATTTTGTTTTTTTCTTTTTCATGTTTTTCTATACTGTAATACAACATGTAAATCTCTATGGGAAATTTTACTATTTTCTTATTTTAAGTAGTATTTAGCTTATATTATTGGTATAATTAAGACGCATATTACTGTACATTTTGCCTGCCATTTTGACATTATGTGACTATTATTACATCATGTCCGCCGTTTGTTTTAAAATTTATCCTGATGAAGGTGTAAGTCGTAACTTTGATGAGTAAAAACAATTGAGTTAGATTCATGAATTGTTGTTGATCTTTTATCCTATAATCCTGATATCTGTTCATAAAATGCATAAAACAGAAAATTAGTAATGTGTTAACCCTTACATCATCATAACTCTTGGCTTCTACTCCATGTTTCATGTCAAGTGATACTTCTCTATCAGATCCCTGCCCTCCTGCAAAACAATAACACACATTGTATAGCACAATTACTCTATATGGATTTATTTTAGTCTGTGTTGAAAGCTATAAGCTTATTGAAACACTCTCAAATCCATTCCTGGAACAAACCAGTACTAAGAAATGATCATAAAGTTTCTTGCTCACTGAAACAATGGCTTTCCTCTGATGGGGTTCGATTCCACATGGTCAAATAATGAGTTGAAATTATGCTTAAATGCTTTATAATTAACACTTCATGCAATATATGATATACATGTAATATAATTGCATGGATTTACTTGGATTGGTATTGTAGTTTTGTAGTTTCTAAAGGCAGAGTTTAAACATGTTTTAAAGTCTATTTTAACTTCAGTGACCTGCTTACATTCAGACTAATGTGGTTAAGAAATTGTATATAATGATGTCCAACAGACTTCATGCTGCAACAATGCTCACATATTTTGTACTTCCTGCTAAGGTGAGTTAAAAGAAAACTACTAAAGAAGTGCATATTGAAAATGAAATGAAGGTCCAATTTCAGCCAATTTTTTTCAAATTTCAATTTAGCTGATATAAAAGTTCTTAGTTGTACAGCTATGAAACAAACTTATAAAGCAGTGCAGGATAAAGAAGAGACAAGCATTATATACATGTTTATAGACAACATACCAGCAATCATTTTGGATTCAAAGCAAACTTCAAACATGTCATATTCCTCTGTTGTAAAGGCAAACTTTCCCTTATGAGCATCTTCCTTACTATATAATGTATGGCCTTTTGAGTCTGTTACCTGCAAAATGAAATTAACACAATGTCAGAAATCTGTTTATTACATGTCACAGTTATTTTGCATGTGTACCTCAATATTGTGTAGGCATTTTCCCAATAGAGAAAAATTCAAAACAGAATGCAGGGCTCATCCGGGAAGGCTTCTCAGCGAAAAAATTTGCTGTGTATATTCCAATTTCACTCTCCTGATGAGAGAAATCAAATTTGCTGAAAAATTAAAGTCCCAATTAATGTTTACTTGACTTTGTCATGTAGAGGAGCACTGTTAGAATCTGTCTGTAGCAAAATCCATGTTTTAAAATCCTAACCCTAAAATAAAAATCTGAAACCAGTCTGCGAAATAACTTTTTCGATCATAGGCCATTTGGGCCTTTAACTTAGGCAAAAGTATAGGCAAGGACAGATAATCATAGGCCCAAAACATTTTAAAATTTATTCTGCAAAATAAAAACAACAGTTTTATTTACAACAACAAGATTCAATTTAGACACAAATGCACGGAAAGTCAGTCAGCCACTTTTCATTAAAATCTCTTTTTCTGTCTGGTTAGATAGATACAAGTGATTAGAGCTTCGGATGAATGAATGTTTCTAGTCAAAATAATAAAGTTGTTTTTAGTTTTTGTTTGAGAAATAAATCTAAAATTGTTTACAATATTGTCATTTATATTGCAATCTTAGTGTACTTATGTGAGCAGTTAGCAATTTCGAAAAATTGTCTGGGAGTGAACCCTCAAAATTTTGTGGTGGACCCCAGTTTTTATAGATCCTGCGTCCAGTGGACCCCTAATATAAAAAGGGTTGGTAAATCACTGCGTATTAGGCAAATCTTACTTGGTGTACATAGACTGATGACATATTACACATCAATTTCGAAAAAATATCGCAACTGAAACTAATTTTGTATGAAAACACATTCTGTATTTAAATGCTGTTGGGCTTATGATCTTTGAATTTTTGCAGGCCCGAATGGGATTTTACATATGGTACCTCAGGCGTGTGCCTTATTTCGCAGACTGTGAAACATTCTCCTTCGCAGCCAGAAATAATACATTTTTATGCAATCTTATTGTTCCCCAGACACAATAGCAATATACATGAAATGGGGTCACTACTCTTATGACTGGTGAATCTATGTGTCCCTTTCTAAGTAATAATTTTTGGCAATAATTTAGATCAATTAAAAGATTAATTGCTTACCCCTTGTTATTTGCTGAGCAAAGAAGTCAGAAACTGTAATTAACAACTGGTCAGCATTAATTGAGTCCACCTTCAGGCATTCATTAACTCAATTTAGTGCTTGAACACCATGAAAAGTACTGCTAAATGGACAAAATCACTTGAATTTACTAAAATATATTACTTAATACATTAATTCAAGTGGGACACTCACAACCCTTGGTAGCATCTGATACACGCAAAATTTGAGTTTCAAACCTCTCAATGGTCATTCCATTCCTTTCTAAGCCATTGTAAATAAGCTGTTCGGTATTTCGTAAAGAGTCTTCTGATTGGCCAATAGCAACAAAACCGCAATGTTTCACACACGGATGTCTGATGGAGTAGAAAGGGGTCCGGTAGAAAGCAATGGAAAGACCGTGTAGAGGTTTGAAACTCTAATCATGCGTGTATCAAACGTACTGGCGGTTGTGAGTGTCCCACTCAATGAATTTAGTAACATTTTTTAGTAAATTAAAGTGATATTAACCCGTACTATGCTGACAAACATGTATTAGTCTATGTTTATGTACCAATTTGTTGTACTGCAATTTTGTCTACAAAGCATTTTTAGCATGAATGCAATCAATACCCGTTAGATATTTCATGAATGGGAAGGGCTAGAGACTTGGGGTCAGTCTCATTTGGAAGCTTAATACAAACGTGAAATAGTGATAAAAGTTTTTTAATTGTCTTGACAATTGTTTTCACAAAGGCCAGGAAATTAACCCCTTGCTGGTAGACTCGAATCTAGAGTTTCTGGCCTTTCTTAACTTATAGTATATTTTTAGGGGGGCTCATATTTCACAATCCATTTGTTGGTAATTGGCACATTTAAGATGAACACAGGGTTTATTATCAATTATTTTTTTCTTCCCAGGTCCAATACTCGTGCCTGGGATTGTGGCTTTTCTACATAAGTAAAATGTTGTTCTGTTTTAACAAAAAAATCTACAGATTTCAGGGATCATTCTGGTCAGGATTTTTAGTGAGAGATTTTCTCTCATTTGAGAAATTTTAATGAGAGAAATTAGATTTCTTTGAGAGATTTAATTTTCATGATGGGCGAGGTTAAAAATATGTAAATTTCTAACTTTTTAAAATCACTGTACATATAAACATTGTTTATCTAATGAGGATATAAGATGATGTAGCTCTGTTTATTACAGTGATTTTTGTTTTCACTTTTTTTAACACATCCTATGCATTTTCTTTTGTGAATTTTTAAACATAATAAAATAATAAATATAACACCTTTATTCTGAAATATAAAAGAATTATACATGGATATATTCATATCTACTACAACTATTATTTGCTGCCAATGTTCCTAATGGACAACACTGTACTGTGCAGAAGTGATTGTTGAGATTTGAAGAATATTTTTTATAACCTTACATTTTGTTTTCTTTATGATTCTCTTCACACACCTCCCTCCATTAAAAAATATTCATTGAATATGTGACCTGAACACATAATGACAAATATCTCCATATCCACAAATATAAACAATACCTAAAGTAATTTTTATTCATAAACATCATTTTTAGTGTTATAAAACACCTTTAAATAACACTCAGCTTCCTTTCAGTATTTTTTTTAATCACGACATCGCGAAAATATATGACAAATGAATATTTGTCTGTTTTCCGCTGTAACATTCACAATTCTAGCTGTTGCTGATTACACTTATATAAAATTAAATATTTTTGTTCAATAAAAGAATATTTATTATCGGCTATTTCATCAGGAATCGTAAAACAAATTTTTTTAATTTGTTCTTTACGGCAAAATTTACCGTGGTTGATGTGACATTTAGAAGACAAATTTTACCGGTATTTGTTTTTGACATGTCCATTTTTATGTTAGTCTGTGTCTAACAATTTTTATTAAAATCAATCAAAAGTGTTTTGTGTAAATTCTCGACTTACAGAACTGATAGATAAAGGTTAGCCAACATATCGTATTTCTATACGGTGAATTTGCGGTCTCCGATCGGCAATTATTTTGGGCTAAATAATTCAAAGTGTTGGACTACTTTTTGGAGTTTTTTTTACACCAATTTCATTAATAAACAATTTGAAATTAAATTCTTATTGGGAATCGTGAATTTTTCATCATATTGTCGTGTAATATTAGCATTCTTTAGATTGTGGGCTCAAATTGCCGTGCGAGATTTTCTCTCATTTCACAAATTTCTCTGAGATTTTGGTGATTTTTTTGCGAGAAATCGCGGAAATCGCCCCCTAGAATGATCCCTGAGATTTGAAATATTTTGCACAAAGACTTTTTGTTTAGGTGTTTGACAAAAATATTTAAATTTTGACCAATGTTAACACTGGTCAAATAAAAAATATTTTTATGCCATTACCGTGAAATAAGTGATGACACGAAATTAGTGATGTTGAGTATAATTATCATTACCCAATCAGAGTGTCTCTACATGTATATACTACACTTATTTCTGTATGTGAAAGCCAAAGACCACCAAGACAAATGAGCTGAACACCTGTGATATTTAATAACATGGAAAATATCAGATACAATGAAGGCTAAACATGAAATATGTTTATATTTATTGGTCTTATCTTTAGAACTAGTTTATGTTAGCCAAGTGGGTTTGAGAATATGCATGCCCAGTGCCTTTAGCGGTTTTCTTCCTTTTACAACTCTTATTACGCGAGTAGATCTTGCTCAAACTTGCAAAGTCAAGTGCCTACATAGTCCAATATATTAGACGTTACAGGCTTGTTATAGTTTTTGTCGGTCAAGCCTGACGTCTAATAGTTATTGCTCAAAAACGCATAGCATCATAAAAAATTCCAAAAATGTCTATTGTCCTGCCTTTCAAGCTTTATTCAAAAGCTTATCATATTTTCTTTCAATTTCATGCTCAATCATACACAAAAACTGTCAAACGATGTACTTATCAATTTAAAATCAAATATAAACATCAATCTATTTTTGTCTATCAGCCATACTGGTTAAGCAAGGTGCTTTACAGATTGATTCCAAATTTTTGAACGGAAAAATATATTCGAACACACTGACGGTGCATGGGCAATTATTTCGTTAAAAAAATATTCCGTTAGATTGTTCTGACTCAGTTAAACGCTTGCATTTGAATTAGCCAATCAGATTTCGCGCACTTTACGGCCGCCATTTGTTTATCGGCTGTAAAAGGAATTGAAATACACGAGAGGATTTAATCATGATTTTTCGGATGTGACAGTTTAATTATTTTGACAAAAGGTATTTATTTTTTAGTTTTGTTCATAAATAGGTCAAAAAATATGTAAATACACGCTGTCCTCATTGTTTTTCGTTCCGCCCGATTTTCTGGCGGAACATGCTATGGGTTTTTGAGCAATTTCGATATGACGTTGCTTTGCTCAGAAGCAAAAATATCTCAAAGCGACGTCATATTTATAGGACTAGTGCCTACACGGTGCACCTCTTAGATCTATTCTGAAATAATCATTAATCTTGAGGCAAGATCTTCACAATATTTAAATAGATCTACTTCTATAAGATAATGAATACTATTCTGTATAACAACGTACAGCTAAGTTTGTTTTCTGTCCTGGTCCATCTGATAATTCATAGACGCCGGTAACCAAAACATCTTTGTGAATCTCTTCCTTCAAGCACTTCTTTTGATTAGGTGATAAATGAAACATCAATGCGTCTACATTTGCCAAGCAAATGCCCAGCATGAACACAATTATACAAGTCATATCCATGATGAAATATAGAATAAATAAGCAAAATATAGCTTAATGTCAACAACGTTTACAAGCACAACTGTGCACGTTTGTTAACGTGGCATTCGGCAAAATCCGTAGACGTTCGAAATTGTACGTATACTTCCGGTAAACTTGATTTTTTTTGGTGCAAATTTTTAACATTTTACTCGAACTCCTCTCAGTGATTACTTCCCTTGCAAGAATTGTACTGATAGTAAAGTAAAGTAAAGTAAAGTAAAGTAAAAGTAAAGTAAAAGTAAAAGTAAAGTAAAAGTAAAGTAAAAGTAAAGTAAAGTAAAGTAAAGTAAAGTAAGTAAGTAAGTAAGTAAGTAAGTAAGTAAGTAAGTAAGTAAGTAAGTAAGTAAGTAAGTAAGTAAGTAAGTAAAAGTAAGTAATTAAAGTAAGTAAGTAAGTAAGTAAGTAAGTAAGTAAGTAAGTAAGTAAGTAAGTAACGAGAATTACACATTCGGTTTCTCTATCTTCCATGTGGGCCTCAGCACAACATTATTACAATCAGATAAGGGGAGATCACTGCGTAGGAGATTGCATTTTACTGGGATTAATAGAATCTATCATTTGGTTAGATAGAGGATAGGGAAATCCCAACCCGAGCAATGACAAATGTTTCTTTATCACTACAAACGGTCTTTATTTTTAGAATGTGATAAATAGAATATTAAATTCTTGTAAGTTCATTACTAAATGTATTGAACTCGTTGAATAAGATAATATTATGCTCGCAAGAGGCTTGCAGAATATAATTTTATTCAACCCGTTCAATTAATTCAGTATTAAACTCACACTCATTTAATATCCTCTATATATGACACTAATATTGAGACTAATGATCAAATAAAGAAGTTACAGAAAATAAAGTTTGAGGCAAAAACAATGAACTGAAACATTAACCCATTACTTCATGAGCATTTTGTGAAAATAATTGTTTTCATTGAAAAGTCTCCCGTAACAAGTTCAAATTGCTATAAAACTATAAAAACTCCTTCAATACTAATCAAACTTGGCACAAATGTTGACTGGACCATTGCCTTTGTAACAACATGCTCAGGCTTAAATTTCCTGTTACCATGGCAAAGAGGGGGCATCTCAAACTTGCCAAAAAATAGTTGATTTCAAATTGATTTCAAAGTGCTGCAACTTCTCAATGGATTGAGACAGAGTGAAACGCTTTTCAGAGTTGGTTACACGTTATCTTATGATCGATCTGGGGTCATTTTTAGCCTCTCACAAGTCCAAAATTTTCATGGCGATGAGGGGGACTTCCGCCCCCTTCAAACCCACAAACAGAAGGAGGCACATCCCCCTTCTGGCAACCCCCTGATGTATCTTTTGGTTGGGGGCCGCGCCAAAAAAGTCGTCACTTTTTTTTATCAACATTTCTTAAACGAAAACATGTGTTGGGGGCCAAAACAGGACAATTTTTCACTATTTGAAGCCTAAAAAGGGGGGGGGGGGGGTCGAAAGTGCGTTGTTTCGCGTATATATGAGGTAAAGGGTTGACTGATAACTGGGCAATGTATATATACTGGATACTTTAATAATAATAGACTCTTCCTTAAATATCCGTATCAAGTTATTGGTGATGAATTTCAGTACTTATACAGCCCTTCTCCTCGAATTCTGTCTGGTGTCTTGTCGTCCGCTCTGGTATTTGGTATATTTCAGTATTTATCATCAAGTTTGAATCTTTTCCACCGCCAGTGTTTATTTGATTTTGATTTAAATTCACTCACAGTTTTGAATAATACTATTTCACATCTAATAAGTTTACAACTAGAGTGATGGCATTTTGTCTTACTGAATTCTATGGCCTTAACTTTTTTAACCTATAAATATGTCCTCTTATTTCGTGATTTGTTACAGATATGTTGAACAACTTTTCAAAATCAAAACTATCTTTAAGTTTAAATATTTGTGTCATGTATATCTCCATGCACATTGACGTCTATATCCAAGAGTATGTAAATTAAATTCCTGCAATCCTTTTCATATATGTGCATGAGTCCGTTTAGTTCAGGATAAATCACGAAGCTCTTCTTTGTGTATTATCCACAATTTGTTTATTTTTCATTGTTATAGCGTAATAAATGATAAAATCTGTTATTGGTCAAATATAAGATCTATTTTTTTTATTTACATTCTAAGAATCGAAAAGAACTACCAAGAAGTATGTGGAAAAAGAAGAATTCATTAGAATTCATTTCACAGATTTTTCAAGTTATTATAATAATTCTTTATTACATATAAAACACATCAGAAAAACAAGAACTGTAAATTCTAGTCTTTTAAATGAAAGAGCCTTTTGAAATTAAAATTTTATTGGCAGTGTTTCAATACTTAATTTGTGCAAAATTATGGCATGCTTGTTAAATATTTTAGTAGGCAGAGTTATGATAATTATAATTACTAAAAAATCTTTATAAATCATGTAAGCTGTATCATTAAATTTCAAAATCAACAATACAAAACAAAAGGCGAGTGCTTTTCGATTGCGAGAGTCGGTGATACCTTTTTACATGATAATCAAGTGGACCGGTCAAGGCAGGTCGCAGAATGAAAATAAGACTAAAGTCGTACACTACGGCTTAACTTGAACTCAGAGATATGTCAACGAAAAAGTTAAAGTAATTTATTTGCGACTAATATAGTTTTTGCGTATTTAAAGTTATTAGTATTTATATTGATGTAATATTCTGATTGTCACGTGTTTTCGCGATATTTATTTTAATATGTACTGTAATTCGGATATGTATAGTGATCGGATATAAGTTGATAAAAATAATATGAATAAGGCAAAGCCTCAAAGCAAGCTCTTTGAGAGAAATTATAGTTCAAGTAACAAGTAGATATGTAACTGAAGTTTCCGCATGTGTGGAACAAAGAGATGTTACCGATGGGTTTTTGTGAAAATTAGCGACTGAACGCCATTTTATTCGAAATGAATGAATATACGTGTAGTACTACAGCTGATTGCTCCACTTTATTTTCGTATGTTAATATATCTATTAGGGCTGGGGAGAGTATCAGAGTACTTGGATAATCACAAATGAAAATGAAAAATCGATTACGAATATTTATGTCCAGAGATCATGGATTGCGATCTTATTTATTTATGATACTTTTCCTGTTTCGCACACTTTAAAAGTAACAAAAAAAAAAATACAGTTTGAGTATGAATTATGTGACTAAAGACCTAAATACAATTTGCCCATTAAAGACAGGAAGTAAACAAACATGTACCATGATGCTGAGCTTTAAAGTCATTAGTTTCGAAAAAGGAATCACTAGTACAAATTTACATGAAAATAAATAAATGTTTTTAGTAGCTATTTATAGATTTATAATAATGTGACATGTATCAGAGATGATTTTAAATTTTATAATTAATTAAAAGTTAATATGTCAGTGTGTTATCACACATCCTGCAACAATGGAAAAGGAGTCACGCCAATATAAAATTCCACCAGCAAAATTTACTTCCAATGTTTGGAAATACTTGTCTTTTCATGTGATGTGACAAGTTTGTTGTACCACTGGTAATATGAAATAAGGTGTTACCTATGGCGCGGAAAGCTCTTATGATTTATGATTTAAGCATAACATGTTTAGTGTACATGTAAACGAGATCTTTCTTGCTCTTCGTTATTAAATGCAGGTATTTTGTGCCGTAAACAAAACGAATAAATTGGTGGTGTTCAACCTATCATTGGATCGCTTGGAATATTTCAGAAAATCTCTGAACATAAAGGGGGACCACTGCACATGCGTCGGTGTTTTGAAAATCCCATCCGCCATTTTTGTGAATCACAGTTGTTGTTTAACGTTATTTTTTTGCTAATTTATCAAAAAAATGTATCATTGTTACTATAATTCTCAGGTTTTTTTTTTACCAAAACATTCGGCGAAATTTTGGCCCCATTCCCCCCCTCAAAATAGTATGTTTTTTCCCCCCTCAAAGCTGAAATTTCCACCTATACGGCAGCCGGAATTTGACTGCAATGAATATCATTTTTTTTGCAACTACATTGTAACTACGAAAAAATGTTTTATTTTATGCCTGTTAGACTTACTGTTGAGCAAGGTTGTTTACAAATCGTTTTTGGGTAGGTAAAGGGAGCTACTCTCAGTGTCCCAACAAGTTTAACATGCAACGCATCGATATTTTAGATCTGTATATTAAGAAACAGTGACGTATTTTTAACTTGTGTTGCAAGAGTTGCTCCCCTTTTCTACCGTAAAGAAAACAATATAAAATAAATAAACAAATAAAATTCCCCCTCCCCAAAAGTGAAAAAAAAACAATGGCTCTTATCAATGAAATGCATGTTTATTTTCTGATTTTGTACATCATTCTTTCGCCAGAAGTGTTATATGACAAGCTTCTGCTCAAAAGGATTTCAAAATGGCGGCGCCCTGTTGACTAAGAATTTTTCTCATATATTTTTTTATTCACGTCATACATGTTATCTAAGAGCACTTCAGCCTTCGCATAGCCTGCGGCCCTGCTCTGGCTTTTGGTGTATAAGTCTGTTCTCCGTGCATGTTTGACAAACTGCTTTTTGTCTCATTTTCAATTGAAATACAAAAGTATTTCCAAACATTGTAATCAAATTTTGCTGGTGAAATTTCATATTGTCGTGACTCGTATTCAAACTTTAAACCTAATTTACATTTGCATATATGTTTAATGTTTTGTATTGTTTAAAGAAATTAAAAGTTCAAAACTAATGTTCATGTTTTTATGGGTGTCTTGATAACAAAAGATTCGTGGTTCGATTTGTGAATTGCAATTGCTGTATCGTTGATCGGATCGTCGCTTATCCGATGATCCACACCTCTAGTTAGGTGGGAAATTTTGAAATTGTCTCTGAGAAATCCCAAGGGTGTTACCCAGGATCGAATCCGGGACCTCAGGAGTGACAGTCAGTGGTCAAACAAACTGAGCTGTCTTATGAAGTATTTTAATTTGCATGTGAAAATCTCAGAATTTTTGCAACACAAATTCAAATATGATGACCCCCTTTTCATTGAAATTTACTGATGATCACATGACTGACATATTCTGTTTAAGAATTTAATATTCAAAGGGAAAAACACTTCTTACCTTATGAATTAATCAGTGTTTTTCATAATACAACAGACAGGTAAAATAGTGGAATGTTAAAAAAGTTATAGAGAAGAAAATAATACATGGACCGTTTATTGTATTGGTTATCTGGCCCACACATATCACAAAAGTAACATGGTATAGGTTCTATGTCTATGAATATAGGTTCTATTGTAATGGCACATGATGTGAATTTGTTTAATTCTGTCAATATTGTATGGCATATTATGTGAATTTGTATAATATTGTAATAATATTTCATGTGTGTTTGTTTTATTCTGTCAATATTGTAATGGCATATCATGTGAATTTGTATAATTCAATATTGTAATAATATATCATGTATGTTTGTATTATTCAGAATGGTGATGGTGATTTTGGAAAGCCTTGCAGGAACTGGTCATAAAATTGTACGACTTAAACCCAAGGGATCAGACAAGCTGGAATTAGTATTTAAAGATCCTATAGGTAAGAGTCACTGTTAGTATGAAAAATCTACCGTGTTTTTGGTATCTTTCATTAGAAAAAAAAACAAACAAAAAACAGTGATGATTAGATAAATGGAACTTTCTTACAGCAAGCAAGTTATTGTTTGTTCATAGTGAGCCTTTAATGATTATCAAAGGACAACTCTTGTGTTTATGTTTACAGAGTACTAGAACTCATCTTACCTCCCCTGTAAAAGGCATAAACTGGTCATAACACAGGATTGTTAGGATTATTTGTGTTCCTCCACATTGCATCTTGACCACTCTAGAAATAATTATCATGATACTCAATAGTAATCAAAAATGTTAAGCTGGATATTAAGGTCAACCAGCCACTTGATTTCGATTTTATATTTGTATTGTTGGAGGAATATAATTATGAAAGATTCTGGTAATGTTAAATATACTTTATATTTTTACAGTGGAGCAACCAGTGTTATACAAGGAGTTAAAGAAGATCAGAACTTTGAAGAGTTAATACAGGTTGACCTCTCTATGACCTTTGATGTCTGATCAGAGGATAATGAGGAGAATTCTTTTCAATTTTGTGTGTTAAGAAAATGCAATTATTTTTACCTTAAGTAATAAGTTAGAAGACAAAGATTGAATTATACTAAAGTGACATCTCTGTTTCCAGGGACTACAGTTGCTAAGATATATTCACATAATTTATGTTTTGTGTAAAATTATAATGTGAAGTATTTAGTTTAAATTTGTCTAAGTGTTATGTATACTTACAAATAAAATAATAAAGATGTAAATCATAGTGCTTTGTTCATGATACAATTTACATGTCTTGATAAAAGATTTATAAGATTGAAAATTTAATTTCATTATCCAGTATTTGCATCTTTTGAACACTCTCATATTATATTAGCTTTATTATATTGAGAGCTGTCATACACCCATATCCAGATTTTATTATTACAGTTTTTGTGCAGTAAAATATTGTTTACTATTAACTTCTTTATTTCTTTAATCTTACATTTCTTTTTCAAACATGTATAAGTTCCTTATCATAACCCATATCATATGTGACAAGATTCATAACTAGAAGAAATATTTTTGGGGTTATCTCCCTTGAACTTAGAATTTTCCTTAAAAATGTTATATTGTACTAAGATCTACTTCACATATATTTCCATATAACCATCAACCATATCATATGTGACAAGGTTCATTTGTCTAGCACAAATATTTCCAGAATAATCCCCCTTGAACTTCAACTTGAATTTATGTTAAAATGCTTTTTATGCCCCCAGGCATATAGTAATTGAACCGTCCGTCCGTCCGTCTGTCCGTACGAGGTTAATCTAGAACGGCAAGTTGGATTTTTCTTAAGTTCTACCTGTACCAATGGCTTCTAAGTTTACACACTTACTAATCAATACAAAGAACATGATCTGGGCAAGTTTCATAACTCTGGCTTTCATATTTACCAAGTTATTGCCCTTTTCAGCACTTAGAAAATGAATAATGGTTAACCTAAAACGGCAAGTTGGAAATATCTTAAGTTCTATCTATTCTAATGGCTTTATAATTTCCACACTTACTTATCAATACAAAGCACATGATATTGCCAAGTTATATAACTGTGTCATCCATATTTCCCAGTTATTTCCCTTTTTTCACTTTGAAAATAGGGCCTTGTCTGGTTAACCTATTTCGGCAAGTTGGATTTATCTTAAATTTCTCCTAATTGCTTAATTTCTTTACTGATATCTTTCATATTTAGTAGGTGGATACCTTTGATGGTCCTCTAATTTTTTTTGGAGTAAGTGGTCTCTAGGGTCAAGGTCACTGGTTTAAAAAATAAATATAAACCTTTTTGCTCATACAGCCTTTATTTTTTAGTTGATGCCTTAGTTTAATACAAACACCTCCTTCTTTGGGTGTAGTATGGGGTCATTTGGGTCAAGGTCAATGTTACCAATGTCAAGGTCACCAATGTTAAAAATAGATTTTTACAGGTGTATTGACCTTATTCTATAGACAGATGTTATTTATAATTGATAGAAACATAAACTTTGATGGAGTTAGTGGTCAGTTGGGTCAAGGTCACCAGTGCTAAAAATAGATTTTTACATATTTGCTCATACAGCCTTTATTAAGTGACAGATATATTTTATATTTGGTAGGAAGATAACTTGCATGGTATTCATCCTTTTGGTTGGGGGTAGGGATCAGTGGGTCAAGGTCACTTGTGCTAAAAATAGATTTTTACACTTTTGCCCATACAGCTTTTATTTATTGACAGTTGTATTTCATATTTGGTAGGAAGATAACTTGCATGGTATTCTTCCTTTGGATGGAGTAAGGGGTCAGTTGGGTCAAGGTCACAAGTGCTAAAAATAGATTTTTACACTTTTGCCCATACAGCCTTTATTTATTGACGGATGTATTTCATATTTGGTAGGAAGATAACTTACATGGTATTCTTCTTTTGGATAGAGTTAGGGGTCAGTTTGGTCAAGGTCACCAGTGCTCAAAATAGATTTTTTACACTTTTGCCAATACAGCCTTTATTTAATGACAGATGTATTTCATATTTGGTAGGAAGATAATTTGCATGAAGTTGAATATTTTTCAACTTCACAAGTCAGAGCAATGACTTGGCAACTTATATTTTTCACAATTACAAATTGCCATGACTTTGTCAAGCTATAAAACTTGTGTTTACAATTTTTTGGCGATTTTTCTGTCCATAACTGAGTGAATGGGTAAACATTTTTTGAAGTTTTGCTACTGACAAGAATCTGAGCCGGGGGCATTTGTGTTTAACAAACACGTTCTTGTTTATACTATAACTTCTTTATTTTCTAAGGTATTTACTCCAAACTTCAAATGTATGTTCCTTAAAAAAACCTGCATCATGTGTAACAAGATTAATTATTCTTACACAAACATTTTGAGAATAATTTCCCTATTGAATTTCAAAATGTTATTTTTACTATAACATCTATATTTCTCTTCAAATATATATTTCTTATCATCTCCCACATCATGTGTGAAAAGATTAATTATTCTTACACAAATATTTTGAGAATAATTTTCCCTTTGAACATTTTTTCTAAAATTCATTATTTTTTGGCTTACTTCATTGTTTCATTGAGGATTTATTTACAACTACAAATTTTAAGTTTCATAACAACTCCCATATTTTCATTTGACATGGTTTATAACTCTGGTGTCAATATTTCAGAATTGTCTCCCCCTTAATTTTAGAATTTTCCCTATTTTGAGCTCACTTTAGCACAAAGTGTGAACATTTGTGATGGCAGTAAGGCTGTTGTTTGTTGTCAACTGCTATCCATAATTTCTGTAAACAACATGAACCACATAAAGGATTGTGACCAAACTTTACAGGAATGATTCTTAGCTGGTCCTCTTCAAAATGTATATAAATGGTTTCAGTCTGATGCATAAGTAGGTCATTGGAGCTAAACACAGACTTTAAGTAATATTTATAAATCATGCTGCTTGGGTAAAAAATTACCTGTTCCTAGAGGTCACTTATAAAGGCTTATATAGGAAAATACAATTAAGTCTTCTGCCCATATCTTATATATTTGACATAGGTTATGCCCCTGAGGTCAAGATTTGCCCAGGCCTGGAGGTCCCTTAGTTTACATAGACATGTATAATAAAAATGTTTTAAAGATATTTTTCTCTTAAAATGCAACACCCTGACTTAAGATATTTTGCATGTAGAATCACCACTAAAGTTAAATAAATAATGAACCTGGGATCACAAATGGCCCAGCCATAGATAAATATAAAAATACATTTAAGTATATTTGTATTAAACTGCAATACCTAGACATTAGATGTTTGGCATGTTGCATTGCTAAGAGGACCTCAACAAAAGTTATAAAAATCATGCCCCCCAGGGTCAAAATTGGTCCAACCCCGGGGTCATTTAATTTATAAAGGCTTGTATAGTAAAAATATCTTAATAGGCTTCTGAGAAACTACAATGGCTGGATCTTAGATATTTGACATGATACATCATCTTGTGGTCCTCTACAAAAAGTTATCTAAAGCATACCCTGGGGTCAAAATTTGCCCTGCCCTGTTGATGAGTTACTTTATATAGACTTTAGTTTTGTAAGTTCAACACATAAAATTTCTTTGAGGTACATGAAAATTTGAAGAAAAAAAACTCATGTTGAAACATGTATTGTTTGATTTTATTAACCTGTCAATTCCATACTGATTATACGGTCAATGCACAGAATATATTGATATCCGATAAATGTTCGGTAAATTCCAAGAGATGTAGGCAGTAAGATGTGATTAAATTAATCTTGTTTCTATGAAGTAGTTACACTGACCGTTATAGCAAAATAGGGTAAACTACGGGTATATAATATCTAGATGCCTTACTTGTTGTAAGATCGAGACAGCGTATGTCCATTTTTGAGTCGCCTCTACGGAGTAGTGGCGACATATAGGGATCACTTCTCCGTCGTCTGTCTGTCCATCTGTCTGTCTGTCTGTCACAAAATTTGTCCGGACTACTCCTCATAAACTACGGGTGCAATTTCATCCAAACTTTACAGGAATGATCAGTACCAAGTCTAGTTGTGCATATTGTCAGCATTTTCCGGTTCAATAGTTTTTGTCAGAGTTATGGCCCTTTAATAATTTTTATTTTTAAAGTTTGTCCGGACTACTTCTCTTATACCACTAATGCAATTTCAATGAAACTTTACAGGATTGATCTGTAGCTCAAGTCCTTGCGCATATTGCACGGGTTTTCCGGTTGAATGATTTTTGGCCGAGTTATGGCCCTTTGATAAAAAGGTGTTTTTTTCTGTGTGTTGCCAGATACACAAAAGCTTGTCCGGACTACTCCTCATAAACTACTGGTGCAATTTCATCCAAACTTTACAGGAATGATCAGTACCAAGTCTAGTTGTGCATATTGTCAGCATTTTCCGGTTCAATGATTTTTGTCAGAGTTATGGCCCTTTAATAATTTTTATTTTTAAAGTTTGTCTAGACTACTTCTCTTATACCACTTATGCAATTTCAATGAAACTTTACAGGATTGATCTGTAGCTCAAGTCCTTGCGCATATTGCACGGGTTTTTCGGTTGAATGATTTTTGGCCGAGTTATGGCCCTTTGATAAAAAGGTATTTTTTTGCTGTGTGTTGCCAGAAACACAAAAGCTTGTCCAGACTACTCCTCATAAACTACTGGTGCAATTTTATCCAAACTTTACAGGAATGATCAGTACCAAGTCTAGTTGTGCACTGTCCGTCTGTCACAAAACTTGTCCCAACATGAAATTGGCCATCATGAGGCGACACATGTGATCACTGATCGCTCTTGTTTTCTTATTCCTAACTATTTTCAACATTTTTGAAGTTATGGCTGTTCTTTCTGTTTTAATATGCTTTGCATTTTTTTTTGGTAAATACTATACTTGTTTAAGAATTAATATTTAAAATTCATTTGGATTAAAATCAATAAATGTCATTTCAGTGCCGTAAAATACAATACAAAACGTGACAATTCAATGTTTCTTAGTTGTTTCATATCCGTGTAGACAATTTTGCAAACGCTTGACAATTTTCATTAAAATATACTTAAATATAAAGAAAGAATAAGCCTAAAAAGAATTTAAAAAGAGTTGATCGAACTTCGGACCTCTCATACATTAGGTAATCACTTAACCGACTCTGCTATTGCGGATGTTACGAGAATCTACATTAAGCTAGTGGGAGTTTTCAAAATCTTAGTCATATACTCCATATTTATTCTCCTAAAATAAACGGACAAACCCGAAGTGGGATCAAATATTTAAATGAGTGCTATAATGTATTCATAATTGACAGGTCAATAAAAACAGACTATAAATATATTTTCTTTGCAAAAGTTTGTTCCAAGAATGGAGAAACTTAACATTGTAAGGGTGAAGGGTTGATTTACATTGGTTGCCTGCATCTAGAACTAGTTATATTATAAAAATGATTTATGTTTAAATCAGGAGGATTTTAGCTGGATTTTATAAAAACCTGCTTGTTTTCTATAGATAGACATTTAGACAAAAATCCACTTATTTGAAGAGAATATTAATTTTCTTCAACAGAAAAATATTACTCTGCTTAGAATATAAAAAAGAAGCTCTATAAATACAAATCCTTTAATGAAAATAAATATTTTGCACCAGTATTTGAGAAAGCCTCTTTTATTATTTTCTGATAAACATAAAACAGTAGCATGTGTTAACATATAATACACAAATACATAAACACACAGGGAAGTGTTGTGCTGTATGTATCGACTGTAAACCCTATATTTTCAATATCAGCATCTTTACTAACACAGGATATTTTAATACATTTGGTAAGTAAACTATTTTCTATGATTTGATATGTTGTGGTAAATATATGTACATGATGTAATGTGACATAATTATTGTTGTAATAAATACAATACTGGAATGTGATTGTCATGCAATATAAGGATTATAAGTCATAAAGACAATACATTATATGTCATATAATATGATGTATATTATATATTATACTAAATTAATTTTGTTATATACGTAAATATAAAACAGTATATTTTACACTCAGTGAAATATTGATTGTTTATTCCACAATTCTAATGTTGAACTTAATTTTAAATATATACACTATAATTATACATGTACATGTATATGTAAATTCAAGCACTATGATTATTCTCATACTATAGGCACTGGATTTCACAACTTAAATTTTTAATTCAGTTAAACATGTTTTTTACATACAGATCTTGAAGTGGGGATGGGGTTTAAACGATTATTCTCAATCCCTTTTTTGTGACTAGCTTTTGGGTGTTCTTTATCACATTTACAGGACAGTCAATGTAAGTGCCCTTTCTTCAAAGTCACACCCAAAAAGAACTTGTTTCCCTGTTTACAGATAAATCTCAAATAAAACAGAAAGATTGTAAAATATTTCAGGTAGTTTTAGTGAGTCATCATGTACACTGTTATTATTTCCTTAAATTGTTTAAACTATAAAAACTAGAGATAATGTTACTTTTTATCTCATGTAAAGTTAATCTTTTAAATCTGTTAAATGTACTATGCAGGCATGTCAGAATAAATTATGGCTTGTGAGGTTGTGTGTATATTGTTCATAGCTATCCTGCATACTCTTAATTATCTTTACCATTTTATTTTATCCTATGTCTTAAATTTTTTTAAAATTTTGCCAAAATGATAGGTATATGTGTAGATTTGATCAATCAGTTTATTTAAGTGCTAGATATATGTGTAGCTTTGATCTACCAGTTTATTTAAGTGATCAATATATGTGTATGTAGGTTTGATCTACCAGTTTGTTTAAGTGATAGATAAATGTGTAGCTTTGATCTACCAGTTTGTTTAAGTGATAGATATATGTGTAGCTTTGATCTACCAGTTTGTTTAAGTGATAGATATATGTGTAGCTTTGATCAACCAGTTTATTTAAGTGATCAATATATGTGTATGTAGGTTTGATCTACCAGTTTGTTTAAGTGATAGATAAATGTGTAGCTTTGATCTACCAGTTTGTTTAAGTGATAGATATATGTGTAGATTTGATCAACCAGTTTATTTAAGTCATAGATATATATGTAGATTTGTTCTTTCAATTTGTTTTATGTTAGATGTATGTATACATATGACCAATGAATTGGTTTAATGAGGTTTGACGAATCTGTTTGTTAAAGGTAGAGATATGTGTAGATTTGTCTGACCAGTATATTAAAATGATAGATATATAATTATATCAACCACTTTGTTTTAGCTATAGATATGTTTGTAAATTTGTTCTTCGTGTTGTTTAAGTATATGCATGCATTATATCTGAATTTATATGTTTGCTAAATTTGCTAGTTTGTTTGAGCTTTGAATATACATAAATGAGTAGATTTTAACATCTAGTTTGATTTTTGTGTAGATAAACAGGTATGGGTAGATTTGAATTCCCAGTTTATTTTAGCTATTGAGATATTTTAGCAGTGGTCAATACCAGAAATGTATTGTATAGCAATATATTAAATAGTTGTAGCCAAAAACATAATAATTATAAAGTATTGAAAGACATTTATGAATCATTAATTTACAATTGAAATATTTGTATGCAGATGTGCAGAAACTCAAGGGCCTGTTATGACTCAAATTTTTTTTTATTTTATTCCCTAAAATCTTTTTTTTTTTTTTTTGGTGAACTTTTAAAGTATCTTAAAAGTTACTCATTGGCCAATTACCGGAACCATCTTTTTCATCTGTTGATTTTTTGGCAATAAGTACAATTATAGTGAATTTATTTTTTATTAAATTTAAAACACTCCTTTGTTTACATTTTGCCACTTTTATGACAAATTATTGCATGTTAGAAGTAAAAATTTGTTTCTAAGGCATAATGTCCTTCACATAAAATAGTAATGCAGAATAAGCTCTGGCTGGTTATATTTTGTCCTATAAAGTTTTGTATGTTTATGTAATCAACCTGAAAATTCAATTGTTAATCTATATTTGACTGTTGCTTATTTTCAGAGAACTTGTTGTGGAGGACTGAAGAAAAATGGCAAACTGTAGCTGGCTATGGAGTCTAATATGGTTCATAATTCTTCTCGTATTTGGATTTCCAATTGGCTTTTTCTGTGCCATACTCTATGTACTGATAAGCCCATTTTCGGCTTGCTGCACAGGATGTATGGAAGTTGTTAACTTATTAGAAAGAGGACTTAAGTTACCAATGACAATCTCACAGAATATGGTCAGTGGAAAGTCACTGTGCTAGTTTTAAAGTACAATAAATATAACAAATGTATTGTGAAAGGATTGACACGGACAGCAAAATTTTCTACAATTTATTCAATTGAAGTGGATTGTGCTGAATATATGGGGACCAAAATAATTACAAATGCATGAATGATGATATTTGTTTAGAGAAGTTTGGAATATCTAGCTGCTCAATAACCTGTATCATGGGATATACAAGTCGTAATATAGCTGCCATATTTCTGATAACCAATCAATATAATAGCTAGAAATGTGAGAGCAGTTGATATATTGTATTGATTTAAGACATTGCTTTTTTGAGTGAAGAAGATGATCCTTGATATACATTTGTAGAAAAGTGCTTTTTATATCTATATTGAATATACTCATTATAAACTGCTTTTAGGACCATTTTTAAGCTTTTAATAATTTACTATTAAATGATATTTTGTCTATCTAGTGCCTTTTTACAATATTTGTATATTTTTCTTATTTGTGTAGGTGAATATTGATATAGAGTATATTTTGCTCCTGTAATGTGTAAACTAATTTGTTTCTCATGATAAAAACAAAAACATTCAGGATTTTTTTTTTATTCTATATAAATATAATGGGTGCCAATTAAGGTTAAAAAACATTTTTTGAGCTCTGTCTCAACTCTTAAGTTTTAGTTTATTCATTGGTCAGTGTCACTGTCCATTCCTTGTCAGTTTCTGACCAATCAAATACCAGAGATCTGAATTTGGGGAAAGAAAATCTTTTTATAACCTCAAACCTAGTTAGCAAGTGAAGGTAACTAGTTCTGGTAAACTGCTTGACAACCTGCCCAGGAACGATGCGACGACTGAACTGTGCTCTGGTAATTAAATGTGGCCTACTGTCGTGATCTGGAGTGAAAACTACCAACACCGCAAGTGAGGGGATTAGCTTAGATTTGCTTTTCAACTATTAGATTGTGTCCTTGTTTGTAATTATTAAGTGTGTCTTATATTTATCATTTGTAATAATTACTCTTTAAGAAACAATTGAAGAACATACATATACTAGCTTTGCAGTTGGTTTATTTAAGTATAACTTTTGAGGATGATTTTTTTTTTTTGCTATTTAATGAAATTTTTATTCTTGATGTAACATGCTGATACGACTATAGTATCCTTGTATTGCAATATATGATTTCATGCAATAATGTTCAGTGTGACATACTTTCATCATGAAAATCCCCTCAACTCTTGGTTTTTTATAATAAATGCATTGCTTAATTATTTGCAATTGATTTGTGTAGTAATAAAATTATAATTTAAGATGTTTTGTGTTGAATTCAGCATATGAAGCTATATCTAATGAAATATTTTTATAAAATTTAGTGATGGTGAAATAATATGGGTTTAATAATCATATTGTTGATTCTCGTAGGACATGTTGTATAGAATGTCTCTGTTACTTACCACACATGAATATCATACCTTAACAGAATCAAATGTTCTGGAACATTTTATAACTAGGGTTTTAACCATTTAGCAATGATTTTGGTCATGCACCATTCCCAGGAATTAATTAGATTGGGAAATATTCATGGTATTTTTATTTTCACTTACACATGTGTATTGCGCAAATTGAAGACATTGCAAATGCAAGAAATTTACGAAAATTTTGTTACATTCTGTCATGTATATTGATGAAGATAAGATTACCGAGGTCTGGGAGTTACAAATCTAGTTATATGTATTTCTGATTCAGTAATTTCTGTAAACAATAATGACAATTTCATAACGAAAGAACGTGACTTATTAACACTAAATGATAATAACAACATCATAACAAAATATATATTAACATATATGACTTTTCAATTCATTCACCCCTGCCTTCATCGTAAATTTTAATCTTATACTTGTTTTCGAACATAACAAGAAAGGATATTTTACAGATTGTTAAATGTCTTATAATCATATGACCATTTTACTGTCAACATTAAGTTACTATTGAAATTAACGATCTTAGAAATGAGCTGTGATTTATAATCTAACTCTGGTTGCAACAGTCAACAGCAATATATATACTGTGCCACAGAGACATTTACATTTTAAGAATTTGAAAAATAATATAATTTCGAGGATTTACACTCCAACCATACATTATTCTACATTCTAACACACTTCACACTATTCCCCTATCAAACAGATTGGGGCAATCATGTGCATTATATGACACAAAACATGTATATGCACAACATAAAAAAGGAATACTTAGACGTCATATGACGTCAATAAACCAAACGATGTCAGGAAAACTACATCTACGCTCAATGTAGTTGAATCAATTTTTTTTTTATCAGCATGTTAGAATGAAAATAGATATAAAATTTTTTTGCATTTTAGTTTATTTTTCAAATTCTTTGTAATTAATCACTCAGGCCTGTTGGCCTTTGTGATTATATTCTTCCGCATTTGAACTCGAACCATGCATTATTCTACAACAATGCACTCAAAATAGACTTCTATTTCCTAAACAACATACTCAAAATTGATATCTATTTTCAAAGCATATTGATTTATGTGCAGATTGTGACAAGAACATTTGGGGAAAAAAACACAATATTCTTTTATAAATTTTTAATTACTATTGACTTTGTAGTTTCAATCAAGTTCAAAGAATCTAAAATATGCAGTAGAGTTAGAATAAGATCAGCCTTGCCTTCACTTACATACATATTAAGTAGAAACTTCCTATTTATGATATCTTCACTGCATATTTATCCTCATGTACTATAAAGTTAATATGAAATACTTAATAGCTCTTAATGTAATAAACTCTCCTAACTCAAGTTGTGATGTAAATCCTAAACCTGAACTTATTATAGTTATATCTATATCCTATTTGAATGTACAGTCTGACTCTGCTAGGCAATTTAAGAATAAGGTCCCCTTGGTTTTATAGGTATATTGACACATTGAGTATTTTTGTTTAAGACTTAACAGTATTCAAGTAAATAATGGCAGATTAGTACATCATATAACAAAAGAATTGCTTGTATTTTATCAAAATTGTAAAAATTGACAAAATATCTGAAACTCTTTACAAAGTAAATATTTAAATGCAGTTTTACTGTAATTTATGGGGAAATGTTGAATTTTATTGTGAAAAGAAGTAATTAATAAAACAATTTAGTTTTTTTTTTTGTTCAAAATATGCACATATAATGATTTCCAGAGCTTATTCTCTGTTTTACTTGCAAAGAAAGATATTCAGAAAAATAAAAACATTTGTTTTAAAATATTCAATGAATGTAAATAGAAAACTTATGGTGCCTTCCCTCATCTGTTACATAATTCATTACTTTAAGTGGTTTATTTGGTGAACATTTGTATCAAATATACTACAAATTATACATGCATGTATAAAGATATACTCCTGAGAAAGTCTAAACATTTCATATTTTCTGATGACCTTTACCTTGCATATACTTACCTTGATTTTGTTAAGACTGTCTCATAATTGCGAACATTTTTATGCAATTGTAATACACACATTTTCAACTGACATTTGACCTCAAGTGACCTTCATCTTAGCCACAGGAACACACATTTTGTGTGTGACACTCAATCTTACAATAGTAGATATTTGTCTCAAGTTATAATGATATGGCTTTAGTGTATGTAAAGGTTTTTGCGCCAGACAAGTATTTTCCTCTGACCACTACAAACTTGAATTTCGACCTAGATCTCTGGTTTATGTGTGTTACACTATGGCTCATGGTAGTGATAATTTTTGTCAAGTAATACATAAATCCATGCATGATCAGTTTTTTTCAAATGGGGTGAATAACTTGAAATGGGTCCTTAGGACATGGATGTCCCCCCCCCCCCACTCCACTGTTTTGTCAGTCTTCTGACATACAGCCGGACAGTATGACAGAGGGACAAATGAAATTCTGCATGATTCTCCTGAAGTGGTTGGGGCATAGCAACATCCAATATTTCCAATGTTGACATCAATATTAACCCTTTCGCTGCCAGAGGGTTATTGTTTTAATGTTCACCTATTTGCCAGGGGATTTTCTAAGAAATTACTATATTATCAATTAATATAATTATTATTATTTGTTATTAGTATTTTATTTATTTTTTCCCATGAAATATGGTGCTATATCAGTAAAATATATTTCATATTTTTTAAAAATAAATATGAAATATAAATATGAAAGTGGGCGGAGTCAAAACTCATATTTATTCTTAGGGACTTCTTTCGCCATTTTGTTTGAAAAATCTGATAAATACAAAACAAATTTTTGTTGAATTTTGCTTTGAAAACTATCTAGAATGATAGAAAATGATCTAACTAAGAAAATAAATCCGAACACCAATATCTTTAATTCAGTTATTAACGCTGTACAGACGTTTAAACAGTTGTTTACGTGACGTCACAATGTAGCGCCAAATATCGCGTGCAAGACAAGACGCAATAATATTTTGCTGCGCGCTGTACAATTGCAGTTGCGTAGCAAGCAATAGGTTTCGTAACCATTTTTCTTTGATAATGAAATTAAATAAAAAGGTTATTTTTTCGTTTTTCGTGAAATATGGTATATATTTTCACTCAACATGATAAAATGTCACATATTTTCACTCGCCGTCCCGGCTCGTGAAAATATGTGGCATTTTATCATGTTTCGTGAAAATATATTCCATATTTCACTCAAACGAAAAAATATCCTCTTAATAATAATTATATATGTTTCCAAATCTGTTAGTATAATAATAATTATTGCCGATGGTTTCAATTTCTTTATATTTATTATTATTTTATTATTGTTTTTATTAATTTATTATTATTACTATTATTATTATAGAAACGGCTAAAGCCGTCCATATGGCAAATACACCGAAAATAACAGCGACGGCTTAAGCCGTCCCTATGGCAGTGAAAGGGTTAAGGATTTTAAATCTCAATTTTATATCCTAAAGTCAAGGGCAATTACTCTACAAAAACTGAAAAAAAATCCTTTAGCAAACCCCTCGGGTGCATAACTACACATGCAAACTAACATTCCTGTAAAGTTTCAAGGTCAAAATACTTTTTGAGCTATGTTCGACACAAGAAAATTGCAAAATTTTACTAGGTCAAGGGCAATAACTCTAACAAAACTGATTAATCCATACACATATAGGGTAAGGTGCACAACCCTACAAACAAGATGTTTAAAAGTTTGCCGACACTAGCTTAAGCAGTTTCATAGCTTCATGTGACGACACATCATGAAAAACATGCACGCACACACATAAATGCACGCTCGGACGTACAATGGTAAATCTAAATGCCTCAACCCCCCAGAGTGTTGACACAAAAAGATGGAAAATCCATCAAAATGTTTTACTCTTTCAGTGAAGAAAAAATAACAAAGATTCTATAAATTACTGGATATAATTATTTAATATGGTAAAAGCTTTGAAAAAGACATTACACCAAAACTGAACAAAAAAATAATAATACACATGGATGCCAAATAAATGCCAACATAGGAGTATATTATTTGTAACCTAACATGAAAACATTCATGACTTTATTAGATATTTATAAAACATATTTCATAAATCTTCATTAATACACAAAGGAGTGTACACAAACAGTGCCATCAATAAATAAAATTGCCGAAATGTGATCTTGTTTTTCAACGAAATCGAAAAATGAAGAACGAGGTCATCGGCATTCCTGTCAGTGACAAACATGGCAAGCACATGGAATTTGTAAAGTGTTGTGTTCACATCACCAACATCATCATCATATATTGACATAACCTATATATTCAAAAGTACAATATTTTCCTTTCATTCCCTGAATAAAGACTTAAGTAAATATAAAAAAAAAACCCACATTGAACATAAATAATAAAATTACACATAATGCCACAAATTATTTAACTTAAAAAGCATGTTCAGGCATTTTCAGAACAGGATAAACTAACCACTTGATAGTTACACAACTAAAACTATGATCATACCAATGTAAAAATGTTGTTATTGAGTATGGTTAGTCAAGATGTATATAACATTGCATGAACCTTTTACCATAGCTAAAATTGTTAGTTCAATACAAAGGGAAGTAATCACAGTGGTTACACCCACATCCTTATTGGATTTAACTCACTAGCAGTCCCTCTAGATACTTGCAGAAATTATGATCACAAAGAAGACAAATATCACTGTTTTCACCAATTCTTACATTTTTCATTCATGATCATATATAAATCTGTTCAAATGGCAGTTGTCTTAAAATGCATTTCCGGCAGGTGAAAAGGCGAGATTTTAGCTCTTTATCATTCAAGGGCCTTGTCCAGTATATACCGGAATAAGGTATTTAGTGTGGTGCTCCAACACTTTTCTTGCTCTATCTTTATTTCAATAATTACCTCCCTTATTACAGAACAAAGATAGCAGTGCTTGAAACAAACTTTTTTTATATTCTATATAGGCTATATACTATAATAAGATACATTTGTATCTTAATATACATATATAGGCCGATTATGTAAAATATTTGATTATGTGACTAGCGCCTATGCATCTTACAAATAATCTAGTCTGCAAACACAATCCCATGAATAGCAGTTCAAGATGTTTTCTACAATATACAAGCAATTAAACCTTGAATGAAAGCAGTGTTTGCAAAGGGTATATTATGACATTAAACTTAGGCATACATGTCTATTTATGAAAACTACATTCTAATGATAAAATGAAAGTAGAAAATAACGAAGAGGATGAATATTGTGATGATGATGAAATGATTATGTACATATGATAAAAGAAATTTAGGGAAAGATAAGATAAAAGCAAAAGTAAGAAATACAGTTTTACAACATAAAATGTTAAAACATTGTTCTTTACATATGAAAATACTAAATATAGAGAATTAATGTAAACTGGTCAGATATTGTATTATAAATCATATAAATATTTTTCTAAAATTCTGTTGTAATAGTGATAATATAAAAACAAGGGTGCCATAGTCACAAAATACGCCCATTTACGAAAGCTTTAGATGGAGATGGGGGCATTATGGATAAGTGTTATCTAGCAAGCAAGTTTTTATTCTTGGCACTGTGTTGTTAAATGAACCTTAAAACAAATCAGTAGGGAAGATATGCACAGGATGTGTGACCTTGACCTTGGTCGCAGGGACCTGAATTTTATGCACGGCACTCAGCCTCACAATGATGAACATTTGTGCCAAATTATATTGAAATCCCTCTATGCATGTAGAAGTTTTGCTCCAGACAAGCGTTTTTCTATGAGCTCTAACTGTGACCTTGACCTTTGACCTAGAGACCTAGTTCATGTGCGTGACATGGCTTCTCATAATGGTGAACATTTCTATGAAATTTCATTAAAATCCCTCCATGCGTGTAGGAGATATGCTCCGGACAAAATCTGGATATTTCATCATCTTTAGTGACCTTGACCTTGTATATATTGACCTAAATTATATGTATCACAGCCATAGTCTTGATAATGACCATTTGTGTTACAATCCCTCAATAAATGATGACTAAATGGTCCATATACACATCTTCATATTTTTATTTGAACTTTGACCTCTATGTGTGACCTTGACCTTGGCCGCAAGGACCTGAATCTTGTGCGCAACACTCAGCCTCACAATGGTGAACATTTGTGCCAAGTAATATTGAAATCCCTCTATACATGTGGAAGTTTTGCTCCGGACAAGCATTTTTCAATGAGCTCTAAGTGTGACCTTGACCTTTGACCTAGAGACCTGGTTCATGTGCGCGACACTGCTCCTCATAGTGGTGAACATTTCTATGAAGTTTCATTAAAATCCCTCCATACATGTAGGAGATATGCTCCGGACAAAATTGGACGCCGCCCGCCCGCCAGGGGCGTTCCCATAATACGTCCCGTTTTTCAAACGGGCGTATAAAAATGGGACAATGTTTAATCTTACTGAAATCAAGTCTATTTTAGAACAAAATAGAAGAAATTCTCTGTCTCCACACTTTCAAAAGAAAAATACAGAAATCAGTTTTTGTGTTTTAAATTTCATCAACATAGTAAAGGTTATATGATAACTTCACTTTTAATGGTGAAGGAAGACCTACAGTTGCAATATTTCAATCATGAGCAGTCACCAAAGTCAAACCATAGCCTTCTTCATATAAGATATTCAGTGTTCTCTGGTGGGATTTGAACCCATAACAGTAATGGGGAAATAATTGCAAGTTAGCAACCTAACCACTGACGCACAGATGCCCCCCAAACAGAAACTGTGTAATGTTGTCAAAGAACAGTGACTATATCTGGTCAATTAGAGATAGGTATTCAATGTAGAACCAAATGTAAAATACAAACAAAACTTACAATACCAGTTATAATATATATCACTTGTCTTATGATGCTAGTCTAAGACATACATACATTATCAATTACATAAAAATATGTCTCCAAAGATCAATTATAACTTCCATTTTGAAATGATAATTTACACTTGTAGTACAGTAATATTCTGTCATAATAAATGTTTCATCATTTTATCTTTAATACTATTCAGAACTGTCATTGAAAATAGATTATTTCTCAATACAAACCTGAGACAGTCTCTTTAACTTTAGAATCTAAAGCTGTGTCATGTAACCACACGCTATTAATGATAATATTAACAGTTATCTGATTCTACACTTGGTTGCGACAATAATCCTTATGTAACATCTCTATCAAATCTAGAGCATATGTATAAACTAAACTTGTCTCCATAGTTAACATTGCCCAGTGTTCAAATAAAGCTGAATCATCATTCTGTTTGAAACATTCTTCCTTGTTATATGTCTTAAAGAAACTCAGATAGAATAAAAGTTCAGATTGAAAGTTTATTATTCAGATATTTATATTTTAATCCCTCGTCTTGCCATCTGAGAATCATGCTTCTTGTCAGCACGTCGTTTTGCTACATTCTTTCTTGTCACTTCCCTATTAAAATATGTAAAAATTAGACAGGTGTTGGTCAATACATATAGTTATATGATGTAAAACAGAACAAAACATTTCTGATATGTAGTTTGCTCCACTATTTTCAGTGTGTGATAAAAAATAAATGAAGGGAAATCAAGTACACAGTGTTATAATTCATTTAAAATCCATGCTATCATTACGACCCTTAGTAAGTGGCTTATCAATATGATTCTAGATTGAGGCTATTTTTTATTAAAGAGAGTTCAAAGTTGACTTAAGTTGTAAGCCATACATGTAGTTACCTTTTCACTTAATCTCATAACTGAATAAAAGAAAAGTCATCGCAAGGTATCTACACACCAAGATATCAGTGATTTAAAGAAAAAAATATATTTTATGAGAAGATTTTTTTTTTGGAAAAATATTCAAGTTTAAATAAATTCAACCAGAAATTTAGTATGCTTTAGTTTCAACTACCAATATAGTCAATTTTAATGAGAATTGTTAAAGAAAACTGTACCTGTCCTTTTTTATTTTAACAGCACTTTGGCCTTTTATATATACAGGACTCTTTGTGGAATCCTCCAATGGCTTCAACTTTCCTTTGTGTGTCTTCCATGTGATTGGCCTAGCCAGACTTGCTTTAAGGTCAAACTTCTTGCTGGATGTAACTGTGTTGTTCAGTGTGGACGTCGCTGTAAACTTAAATGGTGTGGCTGTAGGAAAAAAACAACACTACAATGTTAAGATGCATTAGAATATAACCTTGAGTATAATATATCTTAAAATATGATGGGTAATTATAAGAGTATGTTGATCTGGAACTTGTATTTGACTGGAGTGGAATTTACTAGGCTAATATGTCACAAGATGGCAGAAACACAGAGTGTGATCTGTTCTAGTAAATCCATGAATGGCAATACAAGTAAACAGACAAGATATTCTTTTATAATAACCCTTATATAATATACCTCCTTAGATTTAAACAAAATTATTATTTTCAACCATAATGTAATGGTACAAGTAAAATGTCAGCAGTCACTCTTGATTTTCATATCTGCATGTTACATACATTACACAAAGAAAAATATAAAAAGGTATATGTTTAAAGAATTTGCCACATATACATACTGGTGGATTTTCTTGGAGCTACTGAACCAGTTGATTTTCTAGCTGCTGGCTCAGCAAACTTCACTGCCGAGGAGATGACAGACTTTGGAGATTTCCTAGGTAAAGTCTTGGGTGACTTCTTAGCTCCAAAGTTCAGGTTCATTTTACTTGTATTCAGCACTGTTGGCTTGAACGGTGTTGTCTTGTTAACATTGGATGTTCTAGGCTTTAAGAACTTTAAAGAAACAATGAATAACAAATGCATTATGGGAAAATATATGTATTTGTTTTTTATCTACCTATCTTTATACTACATTTAATAAGTAAACGTTTATTTAACTAGAAATGTGTCCATAGGACGCGGGTGCCCCCACACTCCACTGTTTTGTCAATCTTATGACTTTAGGTCAAATATTTTTTAGGCTACATGTGACACAAAGTGAAAACTAAAAATCTTTTTATAAGTCAAGGGCAAGAACTTTACAAATACTGAACTAGAACTATCGCTGAATGCGATTCATACCCCCACCAATGTCCTTGACAGAAGACCACTTGGAAAGGTGGTTAAGGGAATAATTTATGTGGCACAAATACATAAAAAGAAATTATCTCTGGTGAAAAAAAGACTTATTGTACAGGTAATAGTATAAATATATATTATCAAAACTGTTCGAAACAGTTTCAAATAACCTTTCATTTTCCCAATGCATTAAACATTTTATTTATAAGTCAATTTTTGACCTTCAAGTGTGGCCTTGACCTTAATCTGGCACAAGGGTAAGATGGGTTTTGCACATCACCCATTTTGGGTGAACATTTGAGTAAAGTTTGAAGAAAATCCTTCCATCAGTATAGAATTTATAGAGTAGACACAATATATTGTCTAGTAATGGTTGTATGTAAATTTGAAGACTTAAAAAGGGGATAACTTTGTCAAAATGCAATACAGAGTAATGAAACTTGACCTGCATATCTTATTTGCCACAGCTCATATATCTTTTAAATTTCAAGCAAATGCCTGAGCTAGTTTCAGAATTATTCAAGTACATGTTAAAATTTAAGAACATATTCTAAGTCAATTTTTGACCTTCAAGTGTGACCTTGACCTTTAGCCGGTACAAAGGTGACATGGATTCTGCACATAACCTTGTTGAGGTGGACATTTGAGTAAAGTTTGAAGGAAATTCTTCCATTGGTATAGGATTTATAGAGCGGACACTACATATTGTCTAATATTTGATTGTATGTAAATTTGAAGACTTAAAAAGGGGCATAACTTTGTTTAAATGCAATACAGAGTTATGAAACTTGAACAGCATATCGTATTTGTGACCCTTCAAAAATATTTTAAGTATCAAGCAAATACCTTTTCTATATTTAGAATATTCAAATAAATGTTAAAATTTAAGAATTTTTTCTAAGTCAAGTTTTGACCTTCAAGTGTGACCTTGACCTTAAGCCAGCAAAAGAGTGACATAAGTTCTGCACATCCCCTGGTTGAGATGAACATTTGAGCCAAGATTGAAGAAAATCTTTCAAGTAGTGTTGGATTTACAGAGCAGACATGACATAATGTGTAATATTAGATTGTTTGATATTTGACCTTCAATTGTAACCTTGACCTTGAGCTGACACATGGGCAACATGGGTTCTGCACATCCCCTTGTTGAAGGGAATATTTGAGCCAAGTTTGAAGAAAATCTTTCAATTAGTGTAGGACTTACAGAGCGGACACAACATACTGTGTAATATTTGATTGTTTGATATTTGACCTTCAATTATGACCTTGACCTTGAGCTGGCACATGGGCAACATGTGTTCTGCACATCCCCTTGTTGAGGTGAACATTTGAGCCAAGTTTAAAGAAAATCTTTCAAGTACTGTAGGACTTACAGAGCGGACACGACATACTGTGTAATATTTAATCGTTTGATATTTGACCTTCAATTGTGACCTTGACCTTGAGCTGACACATGGGCAGCATGGGTTCTGCACATCCCCTTGTTGAGGGGAATATTTGAGCCAAGTTTGAAGAAAATCTTTCAAGTAGTGTAGGACTTACAGAGCGGACACGACATACTGTGTAATATTTGATAGTGTTTGATATTTGACCTTGAATTGTGACCTTGACCTTGAGCTGACACATGGGCAACATGGGTTCTGCACATCCCCTTGTTGAGATGAACATTTGAGCCAAGTTTGAAGAAAATCCTTCAATTGGTATAGGAGTTATAGAGCGGACACGAAAATGGAGACGGACGGACGGACCGACCGACGGACGGACCGACCGACCGACGCGACAAAGCGAATCCATTATAGCCCCCCCCACATTTTGTGGTGGGGGTATAATAAATACACAAGCAAACCCCAAGGTGCATAAGTACACATGACTGAACAACATTCTTGAAAACTTTCAGACCTACAGGTCAAATATTTTTTGAGTTGTGCATGAACATGTGCATAGCTTCAGAGTGATGTTGATCATTATTCCTGTAAAGTTGGTTGATTCTAACTCAAGCACTCGAGGAACAAATAACACAACATAATGGAACTGTTTTCACTAAGTCAAGGGCAATAAATCTGACAAAACAGAATAAATCCACAAGTGAAACCCCAGGTGCACAACTTCACATACTGAGCAACATTCCTGTAAAGTTTCATGACACTAGATCAAATACTTTTTGAGTAACGTGTGACAGAAGTTGAAAATTGTAAATTTTTACGAAGTCAAGGGCAATAACTCTAAAAATACTAAAGGTATCCACATGAAAATACCCAGGTGCACAAATACACATGCTGATCAACATTCCTGTAAAGTTGCATGACTCTAGGTCAAATACTTTTTGAGCTACATGTGACACAAGTTGAAAATTGGAAATATTTACTAAGTCAAGGGCAATAACTCTAACAAAACAGAATAAATCCGCAAGCAAAACCCCAAATGCACAACCACACATGCTGAGCAACATTCCTGTAAGGTTTTATGACCCTAGGTCAAATATTTTTTGAGTTATGTGCTACACAAGTTCAAAACTGCAAATTTTTACTAAGTCAAGGGCAATAACTCTAAAAATACTAAATATATTCACACGAAAATACCCAGGTGCACATCAACATTTCTATAAAGTTTCATGACACTAGATCAAATACTTTTTGAGTTACGTGTAACACACAAGTTGAAACTAAGTCAAGGGCAGTAAAGTCTAATACTACCATATACATTTGTATATATCCACACGAAAATACCCAGGTGCACAACTACACATGCTGATCAACATTTCTATAAAGTTTCATGACTCTAGGTCAAATACTTTTTTGAGCTACGTGCGACATAAAAGAGAACAGACAGACGGGCGGACGTATGGACGACAAGGGTAAATCTAAATGCCCCCCTAAAGTGGGGGCACAAAATTAATTGGTTACTACTGTATTGGCACTTAAAAATGTTTTAGTGTACTGATAATATCAGTAATGTGATGTTGTTCAAAGAAGAATATACCAGCTTGTACCCCAAGGGTTGATATTATACTGAACTGCAATAACATGTCAGTTGTTTTTTTTTTTTTTGCATATTATACCCTATTTTAAATGGTTTACCTCAGAAAATTGTATTTTCTTGGAAATTTATGCCATAACATACTATTTTCTTTGACATTTATATCTTCATTTATAACTATAAAATGTTGTCCTAGACACAGTGTCAGTCTTAAACAGAGCTGCATTACTGGTACTGGTACTGCAGTACGTACTGCAGCGATTTTGCAAGTACTGATACTGAATTACTCTTACAAAATTTTGCTACTACTGGTACTGGTACTGCATTACTGTCTTAAAAAGTGGTACTGCTACTGCATTACCCAGTACTTTTGGTTTTGATAAAATTAAAAATAACATCAATTTTTCTCATAAAATAAAGCTGTAAATTACATTAACTATATTTTATTTTTGTGAAAAAGTAAGTTATCAAATCTAAAGATAATTTGCTGCAATATTCCTTCAAATGTTAACATAGTATTCATCATAAAAAGCACCAAAGACTTTAAGTAAAAATTAAATTAAGATAAACAGACACAATTACTCTTTACCCTAAAATATCCTTATTAAAATATTTTATTACTTTGTATTTACTAGTAAAAGAGCAAAATAAACACTAATTAATTTCTTCTATTCTAAAAAATCCCATCTCAAGTGATATTGTTAGCACCATAAAAAGTTGTTATTTACTTTGGTATAAATTGAACAGAAGTGTGAAAGGCAACAAAAGACTGTTGTGTTTTAAATGAAAGAGGTTTGCATTGTATTTATACAGTTGACTGGTTACTAAACAATTAGATATGACATGAATATATGTTGTAAATATTGTTTGTAAAAAGTATGTTAAAACTTTAAAGCAGCATGCCTCCAGATTCATCCTAATTTTCATGAAAATTTTGAAAATGTATTTAAAGGTAAAATATTGTTAAATGAACAAAGAAAGTACTTGACACATTACAATCGGCACTTAAAATCCACGTAAATTACCAAAAAGAGGTCAAAACATGCATAAATAGCCCCTACTGCGTTAGTAATGCAGTAGAAATATAGTGATAAATACTACAAAATACAGTCATTAATTGCACATAAGATATAAATTATCACTTGAATCTTTAATTTGTTTACTTTTCTTAAAGTTTTAGTAATTTTTTTCCAAGTTTAATTTTCATGAAATATTTTGGGTCATCTGGAGGTATGCAGCTTTAAAGTAAATTATGATTTTATTTCTTTGCTGAATAATATTTGCAATTATTTGTTTGACACTGTATTTATTCAAACTTTGATGAATATATAAAAGTAATGGTACTGATACTTAATTACTTCACCAAAAAAAGTACTGGTACTGCAGTACCGAGCTAAAATCTAGTACTGGTACTGGTAATGGTACTGCATAATTTGCCAAGTACTGGTACTGGTACTTAAGTACTACACCCTTGGTACTGATGCAGCTCTGGTCTTAAATGAAACAAAAAGATGTTATCTAAAATGCCCCGATTCCAGATGAAATTTCTAGCATTTGTAAAACTAACTAAAACACCATTCTGATATGCAATAAATATCTTAGCAGATATACACAAGACTTAAAAGATGAAAACATTTCCCTTGCATAACTTACTTTATTTTCATTAGTTTCTGGTGTCTTGTGAGCCTTCAATTTATCAACGGCATTACGAACTTCACCCAGTAATGTCTTAGCTTTCTTCACGGATGCAGTCATTTCCTCAGCTCGTTTACGCTTCTTGTTTAGATATACATCAATTGGATCAAACTTTTCAAAATTCTTCTGGTGAATCTTCTCCCAGTTTTTGTTCCCTATTTAAAAAAGCAGTTAATTTGTTATATTAGTATGGATAAGGTAAGAGATGTGGAAGCTGGTAGAACCTAGCTTTTGTTTTTTGGGAGACGTCAAATAAATCCCATTGTTTTTCATTACAAAGTGTGACAACTTTTTGAGAAATTATCTCTTACAGTCATTTTGTAAAAATGTTCTACATATGTTCTGTTATTCTCAAATAGATTTGTATTAAAATACAAAACATTTCTTAGATATTCTAACACGACCTGAACATAGAAGAACAGAAAGTGTGTATTATTATGCAATAAAATCACTGTTGACATTCTATAATTAGACATGTGATGTAATCATTATATATGTGACGTAACCACTAAAAATGCAAGGCGCTGAAAATATGTACGGAAACAAATCAGGCGCAAATCAGCTTAATATCGGGTATGACAACATTTATTTGTTAATGTCGTGTTAGAATCGAAATAAATATACCCAAATTGGTGATAAAATCACTGTCATTCGGATGCGCATTATTATATCACTCGGGCTACGCCTTGGTGATATAATTCTTTGCATCGGAACTCCCAACAGTGACTTTATTGAGCGATAAAATCACAGTTTGGGATATATCATTTCTTAATTATATTTATCTACACATAAACACTTTTATCCTGAGTATACATATATACACTTCAATCCAGAGACTATTTGGTTGATCATGTCTTGTTATACCGAAACCAAGTCTATCTCATAAACATTGCTCTTTAATATTACCTGGAGTGATGGGTTTAGTTTCCTTTCTCTTCTTTACAAATGCAGCAAATCTTGGTATACTGGTACTACTGTTAACAGAGGATGGTTCCACTGTCACTAGAAACATGGCAAGAACATTATCTCAAGCAAACAAACATTTTTATATGTATATTATAATATAGGTTAATATAGAAAAGGTTATGCCGTTATGGAACCCAATGTTGAAAACGTTGTGAATGAATCTTTAACAAATATCATGAATATGTACTTGGAATAATAAATCAAAGTGGAGTAAACATTAAACAGATATCACAGGATAAAAAAAATGTGTTCTTTTCTTAATATAACAGACATCAAAAACGTCTTGTATATTATTTCTGGTACAAGCAGACATCCAAGTAGAAGCATCAAAACAGCTTCATTACATTAACAATTCAAAGTCACTGGAATTTTTCTACAGTAAGTAAACCATTTTTTTTATCCAAAATAAATCATGTGAATTGAACATAATTATTTTTTTCACCTGAATTTTATGATTTTTCAAAAAATATTGTGAAGGCTTATCATTTGAACTAACGTTTTAATTAACATACATGTATAATATTCACAAAGCAGAAACATGAGACAGATATAAGGAATTCACTCTAACTAACAGACTCTGCTTCTATGTTTAGTAAAAAAAATATTTCTGTTGTTTAACAATACAATTGTTCAGGTTGCAGTGGTTTTTGTGGGTAGGCAGCATAAGTGGAAACAATATTTCATTTAAGACCTAATATCTAAATACCTTTTTCTTTAACTCTTTTATCTAGGACAGACATTAAACTCTGTTTCATTTCTTCACTATTCATACCATCCTTCATTGCCCCTAACATCTCAGTCACCGACTCAGCGCTACCTGTGCTCTGACGACCAGAACGTCTACGATTTGGGCTTCCAACCTCAGGTGTCTTAAGATTTGGTGTGGGGGCTTTTTCAAAAGTACTCCTCCTCTTTTTTGTGCTATCAGTAACCGATGGAGATTTAATTTCTGGTGTCTGTGCTTTATCAAATGTACTTCTTCGCTTCTTTGCTGGCTGGCAAACATCAGGCTATAAAGAAGAAAAATAAATATAATTATTATGATATTCTGATAGAAAAACATTAGGTAAACATAAGAAGCTAGATTTGTGCCAAATAGACAACTTTAAACTTCAACAAATTAATATAAAACCTTCCCCACAAGCTTTAACCCTTACCACACTAAATTTCTTTAATCAACTTCTCCATCTTTCAGTCTGGACAAAGTTATTCATCATTTTTTGGATTTTTTACAAACTATGAAAGACTGATTAGGGAATAGAGCTCTTGGTTTGCACTGGCTGCATGGATAAAATCTGTTTATGGCAGTAAACTAAGATTACAATCTTCAATAAGAGCAGCGAAGTCTCATACATGTAGGTGAAGCAATATCCAAAACAGCAAATATATATCATGAATATACCCAGCTTATGTGAATGGGTCCAGACCCCAATAACAATGAAGGAATAAAAATCTATACAGACCTGTTTTTCCCCCGATTAAATACATATTACTGTGTGCTAAACGGAAACAGTTACTCCGACCATAATTGAATACCGTATGTTTTGTAATCCTGTTTTGTAAACATTATATCTTGTCATAAGAAAACAAAGTTAATGTTTAAAATCAAAGAATTCTTTTAATACATGTACTGTTGCTTAAACGTTTAGCATGGTTCTTATATTGTCATTTAAATGGTTACGTTTTTGCTTACCACCCCTAACAAACAAGAGCTGTTGGTAGAACAGTGTGCTTGACTATTCTCAGTGCTTGATAGTAAAAAAACAGGCTGAATAATGTAGAGACTATTCAAAAAGGGTCTAATTCTGACAAAATCTGTGTCACTTAGAGTTATGGGCCTTGGACAGTGAAGTCCTATTATGCTCTCAAATAAGTGTGCGAAGTTTCAATCCATTCTCTTTCGTAGTTTTGGACTTGAAGATATCAACTTGCACTCAAAAACTTAACCAACACCCAGGTGCATACAATAGCTCTCACTATTTCTCTTATACTAAAGAATACCTTTTGTAAAAATACATAAATCTGCTGAAATAAATTTACGTTTTAAAAATGTAATGTTTCACTCACTGTTTCTGACTGTTTTCTTTTGGCTGCAACCTTATTGGAAATGGGCATTATTGCAGGTTTTTTATTGGGTGTTGTTGCTGAACTGATTGTTGGAGTGGCTACTTTCACTTTGGGTATGTCAGGTTTAACATTTGAGGAAGCTGGTCTAACTGCTACAGCTGGAGAGAAGACACGTTTCTCCCATCTTGAATTAGGTTTAGCTGAACCTGGAGTACCAGACTGTCCTACTTGTGTGGGTGTTGTGGTATTTACCCTAGCTGGTGTCAAAGCTTTTGATGGAGTATGTTTTTTTGCAACCAATACTGGTGTTTTTGCTTTCCCCAGAAATGTTTTTTTGCATTCCGTAACTGATGTTGGAGTCTTTGATTTGACTGGACCTGCTTCCTATATTTGTGAGAAAAGAAAGAAAAAAGTGAAATATGCTTGCATCTACAACCATCTCTAAATTGTGTGTGTGTGTTTTTTTTAATTAAGCAACTATAAATTGTTGTTCGTTCGAACTTTAAATTCAGTGCTTTAACAATGATTTTTCAGATTTTAATAGGGTATTTTTTCACTTTTAATTTTTTGAAATCTTGGGATAAACAAAATAAATTAAGACTGTGGGTCATAAGGTGACTGCACTGAAAACAAAAATAAATGACAGTATTTGTTAGGTGTATAATTATCTTATTCTCAAATTCTTTAGTGCTAACACTTCTGGTACATTTGCAATTATCATAAAACTTATATTAGACTAGTAATTACATACATGTACATGTATGATACTATTATTAATTCACAATTCTGCAAGATTTAATCATTTATATAACTATTCACACCTGTACCTGTTTATCATTTTTCTCATAGTACTTGGTCAGCTCTGCAACAAGCTTCTCTTGCTGTAACATAAAAGATATTGAAATTATCCTTTACATTAGCAATTATTCATTCTTTGATTAATACCAGCAAATATACCAGGGCCTTTTCCCCTTCTGATGCACTAAGCAGCCCTGGGCTGTCTAAGAACCTTCCCCAAAAGATAACTTAGTAAAATCAGGCATTTCGCCTACAATACAATTAAAATCGAGTTCTTCTCTTCCTCTTTTGCAAGAATTGGGAAATACATAATGTATTTTAATAGAATAAAGTGTACTTAGCTTTGTCTTGAATTTAAAAAAGCAGGATATAATGAATTGTTCATTAATCACAATAGGAAAAAATTTGTCTTACATGGATGCATATATTGTATTTGACCAACATGAATACATCTAGATTCAATAAAGTCTACTGAGGACGAAAACAAGAATGTGTAAATTTATTTTAAGTTACATGTACAAAGGGAAAAGGAATTTTTAAACTCTTGCTCCATTAACTTTTAAGTCCCAGCCCCAGGTTGGCTGAATACTTATAGATACATTTTTCCTTTGATTGCACATCTTTTGTTACTAGTTATTTTTATAAATCTAATTTATGCTATGCTTTATTGCTACCATTTAGGAATTCGGGTCAACTCAGCCCTAAAACTACCTTGGCTCCCTGAGTCATCTCGACATGGGTCAACTTGGCTAAAATTATATATTACCAATATTATAACTGATTACTTTTTATATATTTTCATTAAATTTCATTGCTTATTCTCTCCAGACCTCTCCTCAAGGACATTTAAATTTTATTGATGCAGAAAGCAAAATTTGTATGTGAATTTGTAGAGAAAAGAATTTACAATACACCAATTGACAGTTTTCCAACTAGCAGACAACAGACTATTCTTATTAGTAGAACTGCTAGTAAAGATAACCAATTCCGATCTCGCTGTATAAATCGTATGTAAAATGGTCTGACTTGTGGTCAAATTGTTGGTTTAACTGTAAATTTAAATACCTTAAGTGTCAAACAGAATGAAAATATAGCAACAAAAAGCATGTACACAGGGTTGTGCTACACTAGATTCTATCAATAATATCTTACGATTTTCCCACATTGATATCTGCAGCTTGAGTAATAGATTTTATCTGTTTATTGTATGATAATTTACAAATTTAATGAAAATTTGTGTAGTCGCGAAATCTAGTGATAAATAATTAAATTGATTAACCGAACAATAATAATTAAAAACCTTTAAATTTGCTTTAATGCCTGCTTTCTTAGCCAATTTACGCAGTTCTGCATATTTAAGTTTTGCTAAATCCTGCATATTTAATGAATATTTTCTACTCTTTCAAATCGCGCGACCTAAAACTGTAAACTTCCGGCTAGGCTACGTTCGAAAATCGCTCCAACATTTCTGATTGGTTGAAATTATTCTTAACAGAGTTGTCACCCTTCACCTGAAAGATTGTCAACAAACTGCTGTCAAGCTTATTCGTTTTCATTTTCCAAAGTCATTCGTGATATACAGTGCTTAAAGCTATCCCAGCTAGCCAGAATTAAATTAGTGCTTTGCAATGGAATTTAATGCATTTTTCGAATAGAAGCGCGTGCTTTTGGAATTAAAAGGAAAATATGATAGTGTGTTCTTGGTCAGGATAAATCAAAACAAAACTTGAAAATGCCAAATAAAAGTGAAAGCCAAGTTATTGGAGTAGTTGCCCCTAAATCTGCTGTTAACCAGCTGATGGGACTGTATATTATTGTAGCATTTTTGTTAGCTCTATCATGGTTCTTGGGAAGCATGTCATGTTCATTTTTGTGGATATTTGGAATTATTTTTGGACTGTTTATTGTTTGGAGAACAAGACTTCAAGAAATTTTAGAAAGAACTTTAGACTGGCATAAAGAACATCACAACAGAAAAAGAGCACTTAGACAAGAAGAAACAGCAGAGTGGCTTAACTTTATTATAAACCGATGGTTAGTATGTATCTGGTACCAGATAAAATGTTGTGGGTAACTTACAAACCGGTAAGATTTTCTGCTGAAATTGTACAAAATGTCACGGAAACGTATAAACCTAGATATTTTATAACAGTTGTTGGAAACGGCAAGGGACATATTGACTCCTGTGGCTGGTAGCGTCCATGGTTTGACTCTACATTTTATTCCTTGTTTGTCTATAAAATGTAGATGAACAGAAAGAAATCTGCAACATTTTTGCAAGTGTTGTAGAAATTCTACAAAAATTTGTGGTGAAAAATTATAGGCCACAACTTTTTGTTCCTCAACAAAGGCTCATAAAATATCGCGGCTAGTAACAGCAATTTTAAACAGCGACTTTTTGTGCAGAGACATTTCCCGGCATAAAAAGTATATTTGTGTGGCTATTTAGTCTTCTATGTAGACAGAAAATGTTGCGGTTTCCTAAATTGTAAATCTCAACTAGTGTGACAGAAAAATTTGAGAGTTTCTATAAGCGGCCACATTTTATACAATTTTGACATAAAATTTGCGAATTTAAAAGTTGCCCTCAACATTTTATAAACTGATGGTAAAATTTCTTGCAGCTTTAAAATGGATGCTACCGATCACCATAGACTAGGGTTAATTTGGTTTCGTCAGACAATCAGTTCGTGGAACTTACTTTATATAACAAAACAGGTTGTGGTTTTGGCAAACTTAATTTATAGTGTTTCAGAAAGCTATTGTGTTATGGGCAAAATAATTATCGTACATGTAGGTCTAATTTAAAAATTGTAGTTTTTCACACATTTAAAAACAAGACCTTTGAAGATTTAATCAAACTATAACTTATTCTTTGATAAAATGTATTTTATTCAATAATTATATGTTTTACATCTATGCAGAGATAGGTATACAAACGCTTACAAAACATATAGATTGAATATATACATAATACCAGATCTAAGACATTGTGCTTATAAATTTACTATAAGATCAACAAAACCACTTTGTCACCTTTTCATAAATTATGTTCGCGGAACCGGTAGTTACCAAAACCACTACTATTAGTCAGACTATTTTCCTCCTTAACAGTTCCTTCCCTGACATTTCCGCCAGACTGTTCTACTCCTTTTCTGGTAAATCAGTCCCAAATTATTCAGACTCTTAAAAATGAAAAGAATGAAATTTATAAATAAAGTCATGCTAAATTTAAGTCCAAAAATATACATCATTTGCAATATGTAGTTCAGATTTAACAGTAAATGGTTTCATCTTGTGACATCCTTGCTTGGAAGCAACATTGTATATTCAATTCTTGTCAAGACAACAGTTCTTGCAGTAAGTATATATTATGGTAACTTCAAACTAAAATCTTTAGAAATTTTTTCTTTATCCCTACTTTTTATCATCAGAAATTACTATGCTGACATTCCCCTACTTTTTTGGTAAAAGATGCCCTACTTTTCTTCTACCTTTTATTACCTGTCATGTTGGCAATTTTATTTTTTTCATTTGATTTTAAGCAAACTTGTGAAACAATTGTGTTTCAAGTTGATAATCTAAGATGTTAATTTTTTTTCATGAGTCCCAAGATCCAAATTTATATACTGGGGTTATGGCCCCAAAAAGGGCCTAGTTTGCCATTTCAGTGTAGTTATTGATATATGTGTGTGTGTGTTACGTCATTTCAACTAGAATTTATTTAACAACCTTACACAACTACAAAGGGCAATCATGACCTTTTTGTATGATCAGGAATACAATAACTGTAACCCGAATGACCTTTATTATGTAAACAATCTACATTATGCTTATATACTGTGCGTTTAGGATAATTATTTAGTGACGCGGTGGTCAAGTCCACTTTAACGGTGTAAAACAGTTATCATATTGTGTTTAATATCTTAAGTCAAGCAGGCTTGTCATATAAATTAAAATATCGACAAATTTACCAACTGTCGGCGTAACGCAGTAGGTAAAGTTGTGTGGTAAATCTTTAGTTACATATCAATGCAAGACAGCCAGGTTCGGTCCCAAATTTTTTGTGTAATTATCAATCGATTAAGAATTTCTTTTTTTCTTGTAAAGATTATTAGCGCTGTGTTATTTTTTTTTAATTTCTCATTTCAATTTTGTTTTTAAATGTTGCTATATCTAGCAAGTTGGTGCAACCTGATACGGAATGCATACATGTACATAAATTGTTTCAACTATAGTTAAGTTGGCACGAAAAACGTATGCACTGCAAAAGTACTACTAATATATATTACACACTACACAGAATAAAAATTATTATTTCCGGTATATATAAATTATTCGAAATGATAACAAAACTGCCTTTATATTCCAATTGATTTGCATCTCATGTCAAAATAAAAATAGAAAAAGGAAAAAAGGTTTGACAACTTGTGTGGCTCGAACTCATGATACAATTTAATTTGTATGGCATCCTAGTGATTTAACCAACTTTGCCATCGAGACTTTTCAAATTCTATTTCTGATTTTGAATGATATTCAATTCTAAATACCCTGTTTTACCTATTCAGACAAAGATTGTTAACTTTTGTGTACACAAAAAATGCAACGTCACTCTCACATTATCATAGCGGCACAGTATCTGCTACAAGTTGTTCATTGACAGATTATTTTAAGTTATCTTAATTGATTTTGCTACATATGTAGTTTGTAGTTTGCAGTGTTCTTAGAATTGTGGTCGTGGGATTGGAGCATCTGTTTGATAAATGTTAATGTGTACTTTATCAAGGTGGTGGAGACAGTTAAATAGTAACTTTCTTATCTTGTTACAATTTTTAGTCACACCATGGTGAGTCTAATTTGAGTGTGGCAATGAATTGATATTGTATATTATTTAAGAACATATAGACACAATTTTGCAATGTTACATATTTGCAGAGATTTTTATTGTTTCATTGAAATATGATGTTATGTTAGTTTTCACAACTTTCATATATATGCACACTCGTAATCTGTCACTGTTTGATTTCTTTTTCCTTAACTCATATCCTGAGTTAATGATTTATTGCACAGTACCATTGGTTGACTCCTTGTACAAATATAGAGGTGCTATTTCATGTGACATGCAGAGGTGTTGTTTCATGTGACATACAGAGGTGTTGTTTCATGTGATATACAGAGATGTTGTTTCATGTGACATACAGAGGTGATATTTCAATACAGAGGTGTTGTTTCATGTGACATACAGGCCTATGTGATGTATCATGTGACGTACAGAGGTGTTGTTTCATGCAACATATAGTGGTGCTATTTCATGTGACATAGAGGTGTTGTTTCATGTGACATACAGAGGTGCTGTTTTTATATGACATACAGAGCTGTTGTTTCATGTGACATACAGAAGTGTTGTTTTCATATGACATATATAGGTGTTGTTTCATGTGACATACAGAGGTGTTGTTTCATGTGACATAAGAGGTATTGTTTCATGTGGCATACAGTGGTGCTATTTCATGTGTGACACCACTGTATGTCACACGAAACAACACCTCTTATGTCACATGAAACAACACCTGTATGTCACATGAAACAGCACCTCTGTATGTCACATTAAATAGCACCACTGTAGTGTATGCCACATGAAACAATACCTCTAAAAGGCTCTTATGTCACATGAAACAACACCTCTGTATGTTTATTTATGTGGCATACTGAGGTGTTGTTTCATGTAACATACAGTGGTGTTGTTTCATGTGATATACAGAGGTGTTGTGTCATGTGACATACAGATGTGTTGTTTCATGTGACATACAGAGGTGTTGTATCATGTGACATACAATGGTGTTGTTTCATGTGACATACAGAGATGTTTATTCATGTGGCATACTGAGGTGTTGTTTCATGTAACATACAGTGGTGTTGTTTCATACATGTGACATACAGAGGTGTTTATTCATGTGACATGCAGAGGTGTTGTTTCATGTGACATACAGTGTTGTTGTTTCATGTTACAGAGGAAGTTAACATGTAAACTTAGTACAGACATAGTATTTTATCTAAGTTTTTATTATTAAGAAATTATTTCTTTGCTTAAATTTGTCCAGTGTTTATATATAGAATTATATATGAGTTATGACGCATACACTGTTACATGTAAGTCATATATAGATATAAATCATCAGTTGTCATCATGCAGAAGAGATAAGTAACCCCTGCACTACATTTAGATTTTAGAAACATGTCAAATATTATTATATTTAGGTCACATAACTTATAAATATCTCACACTTTACATACATACACATGTCTATAATATGATACCTGAGCAAAAAAATCTATTTAGTTAAATATTTTTCCACTTGAATTATTACACAACATCTCTTTAAAGTGAAAAAAGTATATTCAAGGTTAAAAAGCAAATCTGTAAATTTTCATAATTTACAATTAACGTTTAGACTTACTGG